TTTTTTTTTGCGAGATACAATTACGGGAGTTATTGTTATTGCACCTGCTGCGTCGCGAGTTTACACAGGCGTGTGCTCGCCGTACGCATAAATTATGTCGCATTTTAGCATGAAACGACTTTAGAATAGCCGAGGGGAGTTGCAAGCCCGAACTTCGTGCGCCTCTATTTACAGAGATAATCCTTACTGAAATTAATTATGATTAAATCAAAATATTAGACAAAAATGTAAAAACATTAGAATATAATAAATATAAAATTTTCATAAATCTGTGCTACGTTGAAAATTTAAAGAAGCGACACGAAATTATTTGAGTGATCTTTTGTATAAGATTTCTGCACTTCTAGTGACCAAGAACGCTGGGATTTATATGCCGTGCCGTCGATAGTGATTTTCATTAATATTCTTTCCACTTGAGAATATATATCTACCCTTTCGAAATGTATTAGGTGACCCTTCAGATCGCTGGGATGTATCGTTATCAATAAGTAATTACATAGACCATCGCTTCCATTAACATCTATGCCATACTCTAACCGCTTTAGCTACCAGAAAACACGATTTTCGCGAGATAAGACGTAATAGTAAAGCATATTCTGAGGCCGTGAATGAGTTATTCCAAATTAAAATAAAATAAAAGATATTGTTTTTTAGACTCACCGATACAGATGCGCAGCAGGGGAGTTGTATAAGATGTTAATCTGTAACATATAAATATTTTTTGCAAATTATAGCAGCGTTTAAAGTAATCAATATATATTTCAATAAAAATTATTGTTTAGATAATAATTTAAATTTTTTATATACATATATATATTTATCTCTTTCAAAAATATCTTGATATTTACATAAAAGTCTCTTATACAAGGTGTTAAAAAAAAGAGTCACATATTTTGAGAGCAGGTATTATTGATCAAAATAAGAAAAAAAAATCTAATTAACTGGGTCCTACAATTAAAATATCTTCTAATATCCTACAATTAATACCCTTTATTTATGACCTTTTTTTGACACCTTGTATGTAAATAACATACTTTGAACGTGTTTAAGATGTATAATTATTTCATTTATTTACGAGAATTTTATAAACTTTTATGAATCATGATTTCTTTTGTGAAAAAATTATATAATTATTCTACTAAATATCTTTTTAAAAGATAAATAAATGTTAAATAATTACAAGTAAAAAAATATTTTATATATATACCATGAGAGAGATGGAATATCAGAATATCGCAGAATACATTATGCGAGAATGAGCAATTAAGCATGCAAGTATAACAAATAATACATTACCTGTAGGTTGCTCCGCCGTTGCCTGATGCCACCTTGGCTGGCCTCCTCCTTTCTTGTTCCTCTGTTGCAAATCCCTCTTAGCACTCGCGCAATATTCGCACTCACTCGCGAGAACACGATCGCGCGGCACATTTGTATGGCACTCCCGACTTTATACATACGCGACGCGCACTTTATTACATTATGTCGAAAAGGAGCACGATTGCAAGAAGCGACGTTAATCGCGCGACCAACTTGACACTTCACCCCAGCACGTGACGATATTATATTACTATTGTCGTTTTAGCTGCTATTTTTGTTGTCTTTCCGCATTTTTAATAAATAGTATACACTCTTGTTTTAAAATGATTATTATCTCGTATTATAATACAGATGTGTGAATAAATACGAATTAAAATTAAAGAGAATTATTCAAAATATACGAGATTATCGTTGCTTTGTTGATCGTTCGCACAACTAAAAATAATCGACTGTTATTTTTTTTTTATAAAAAAGAAGGGAATGTTTTCGATATAAATATTGGTCAATTCATTTCATATGCTATTCGCGATATACGTATGATTTAAATTTACAATTGTGTTTACGATATATCCAACTGTTGGTCAACCATTAATATTAAATCATCTCTCTAATTTATCGAATCGCGTGATGAAGTGCGATATATCGAAAAATTGAATTTTTTTCACTACGTATATTTTAATGTTTGTAAAATTATTTAGATATATAGATATTTGTGTACTGTATTGCGCGAAAGGCGTCGTTCGCCGGGAAACACGATTTTTATCTTATTCCTGTCTTGATTTCGCGTCGATAATAAAAGCGTGTCATGTATTTTTCCTCTTCCGTGAGATCGATTGAAATAAAATAGAGGCATTCGCGGTTGAGAGATCACTCGCAATGATGCGCGGAGCAAGTTTACGGATCGTTTAAACGGAGAAACGAGCTCCGCGAAATTGCAGTTTCCACTTATTCGTACGTCACTCCCGCGATCGTCTTCCTAAAGCAAAGACGAAAGGAGAGATCCTCTTGCTCGTTTAATTCTCTCGTTTTCCTTCTTAACATCCGGGTTAAGCGGACGTTCCACTGATTACGGTCAAGATTGACGTTTCAAATTGTCGAGTCGCGTGCTCGGTATCTTTTAAACGAATACGTATACGCAGTTCCATACAAATAATTAAATATAGTATTAGAAATATTCTAAGAGACGTGTTAGCCTATTTTTGCCTGACCGTGATAATCAAAGAAATCGCGACCGCGATCTTTCCGTCTCGACCGCCTGACAAAGACAACACATGTTTGCCTATTACAACTATATTTTGAGGCGCCATGGAATGTGAATAGTGGGGGAAGAAGCCTCGTATTTGTTTACTACGATGTTTTGACGCGCAGAGGTATGTAGGTAGGTGGTAGGGGGGAGGTCCTGTACTGTGTTTGACTTTTTGCGCGTACTTGACTTTATATTGTGTCGGAATCGATATGGAATGTTTACTTTACACTTTCACGCGAGAAATATATATATCTTTGATATAAAATAAACGTATTTATGCATCACTTTAATCTTTTATAATGTATGTATAATTTTACGGTTTTATGAATATATTCGCTAAATATATTAATAGATTATAAAATTCTGTTCTCTCATGATATTATTCTATCATTACAATATGAAATGAAGAAAAAGATAATTGATATTTGGAAATTGAAACTTGTACACATATTGTTATGCGTAATTGGAACTATAATTGACTCAAGAATAAATATTACTTTTGATTAAATCAAAAAAATTTAAATATTTGAATTTTAATTAGATTATTAGACAATTAATTTTTAATCTAATTAAATCATAATGATTTATTACATTTTTTTTTATTTATAGTTACTTTTACGCAGATATCGTTATTATTATATGTGTTATTTCGCATAGTTTTTTTATTTTTCCTTTATTTTTATGCAAAATAGTTATATGCTAATTCAATAAAATTTTCCCTGCAATTTACAATTCAAATAACGGTCGAATCAAATTGATATACTAAATTATGCATTCTAGAGAAGCATCATATTTTATTAATTATTAGATTTTGGAATAAAAAAGTCGCTCGAATATGGAATTGCGTAACTTTTTTTACCGCACACTTGCCTTTTAGAAGGGGGGGGGGGGGGGGGATAGAAAATAAAATTCTTTATCATCCAATTTCCTCCGTTTGTGTTGTTACAGCTGGCACTGCCGCGGAGAAAGGTTACTTCGGACTATGGAGACAATGCAAGCATCTTCTTTACGGACGAGAATGGTGCGGCCAAAATGCCTCCAGGTTTCAACCAGTCTGTGAGTTTCGTTTTACATATGATTATAAAGAGAATTGATACTTTAATACCCGCCTGTAGCTTATAAATATTTTTTCTCATCTTTATTGCTTAATTCTGATACTGATAAAATAGAATGACGGTCACTATATATTATACGCGAAATTTTCTAAACATTGCCAATTACAAAATTCTTTGTGAAAATATTTAACGAAAAAGATCTGGCTAACATTTTTAACATGATTCAATAAATGTAAACTTATTCGTTTTAATAGATTTTAATTAATATTTTTCTGTCATGTAAAGTTGAAATAAATTAAGGAGAACTTTTTTTAAATTAAAAGTTAAATTATGTTGCGAATAAGAATTCAGTTTTATAACTTTACTATCCGACGGTTTAAAATCACAAAAATTGCATAAATTTTATCACATATAATTAAAGGTGTTAAATCAATATTTTTCATTGCTATTAAACATTTAATATAAATACGATCTAAAATTGATATACATATTTGATATTATTTTATTCAATATTAATGAAAATCTAATGATTAATTGTTCTCCCGTTTCTATTCTTTCATTATTTGCTCATTACGTTATTACGAAAAGCGTTCAAAAAGGATGAATTATTTGCGGAATTTCACATTTTAGCATCCCGAAAAATAAATGCGGCAAAAATCCCAGCACGAATGCGGGATTACAATAGGACGCAATAGAATTACGACAGGATTTCTCCTTTATTTCCAGTGGCTGTGTGGATGGCGGGATTAGCTGCCGCTGCCGCCTCTGCCTTTTTGGCGATTCTGGTCGCTCTGGCTGTGCTTCAATTAGCCATGGCCTCTTCCGCGAAACGGGTTGTAATTTCGTACAGTACTGCCCTAATAGGCAAAGTTGCCCTCGCTACATTGGCAAGTGAGTACGAATTCTAATCGGTTCCAATATACGACAAAATTCAAGCAAAAAAAAAGTCTATTTACAAGATAGTATATATGTAGCTGCATGCTCAGTCGTGAGAAAGAAACGATATTTATGAATTAATGCAAACTTTTGTAAAAAGTTTTTAATATATTTAAATCGTTTTTAAAGGTTTCAAATTTTCTGCTCAGTTTATTAGATAACATTAAATGAAATAAATGAAGTATTTATTTTGCAAGAAAATAAAATAATGCAAATGCAATAAATTTTTTGCTCAGCTTATTAGATAACATTAAATGAAATAAATAAAGTACTTTTTTTACAAGGAAATAAAATAATGCAAATGCAATAAATGTAAAGCATTTATAAATATACATTAAAGATTATGCTAATTTGCTGAGAAATAATTCACAAGTTGAAAGAAAAATAGTCTATTTATAAATTCTGTAAGAAAGACGTAACTCTGTGAACTTTTCAAGGATAAGCTTATTTTATCATTATATCTTAATATCAAAATATTGCATTTCGAGAAAGATTTAATACATTATTCATTACGTACTTGTCAGAGTTAAATATATTATGTTTAATTCAGTGTGGCTGTATGGCTAACGATAAAAATTTATTAAATATATTAGCAATAATTTAATCTATACTATTTAAAATTCATCCACATTTCAAAATTATAATTATTATTAAGATTATAATTATTATCAAGATATACATGTCTGAGATTACTCATCTATATACTTCTTTTCCTTCGTTCTTACGCACTACACATTACGTAATCGGTTCTTACGCACTATGCATTACGTAGCATTGCGAGCCAAGGCCTTGACATACGAAAGTACAAAGAGTCCGAATCACGTTCAACATGTAAAGATTCTTTTTTGTTTGCAATTGTGCACTACTATGGAAATACGTAGTAGAATTACTATTCGTCCGTTCGTCTACTTACTGGCCTACTTACAAGCCCTTATCTGAGAGATATCGAATATCTACGGGAGATCGTATTACAGTAAAGCGATATATCTAATGCCACAAGAGAGCATATCGCGTAGTCATTTTGCTCGCGTTAATGATTTTGCGTGTAAATTAAAGAAACATGGGATATGTATCGCGTTAATATATTTTACTCGTGCAGTTTTATCTCTCCAGCTTTTATATCCTACGGTACAAAAAGTTGCTTATATTTGTGTTTAAAAAATATATAAAACTAAATATATGTAATTTTTATTGCCTAATGCTTCTAGTATATATACGTTCGCAAACAACGTCTGTTGTCTCACATTCTAAATGAAAAACACTAGATAAAAGTTTATAAGTTAGGATGTATTTGCAAATAAATTCTTAACGCATAAGATTTTTGTTATGAAACAATAAATCCACTTTATAATGAAAAAAAAAGTCAGCAATAAAAATATTCTCGCAACAATCTTAAATTTTATCAAAGACATATAACGCGAATAAATATAGACGAAAAGTTGTCTGCGGACGGATATATGTAGATATATACTAAGCTTATATAAGATTAAAGACTGAGAATTTTATAAATCGGATTGTATTTGATACTATTTTTTTAGCGGCGTTGTCGATTGTGGCGGCGAGCCTCTTCGCTTTGCAAACGGATGATCGAGCTAATAGCTTCGTCATCACGAGAGGAGAGGCCTTTTATATGCAGGTAAAGTATACTTGTAATGGCATATTATCGGTTTTTTTTTTTAATTTGTTGCATCTTGTTTGATTATATCGGAAAATCTTTTAATAATAAAAATATATAAGATATATAAGGAACTAAAATATGTAATAAAAACAAATAAACCAATACTTTTGTAATACATAGTTCGAGGGGATGTCTCGTATTATCGGAAATTTTATCGGAAATTTTATCGAAAATAACTATGCATCCCGAAAAACAGTTTTTCCGAGGCATTTTTATCTTTTTGATTTTTATAATAACGTGAAAATTTAAAGAAATTTCGAACTCATAAATCAATAATAATTTTGCCGTGTATCGCAATAGCATCGTATAACGAGCCAATTTTGTTACTAAATTATTAAATTTGCAATTTCGCACTTTAAAGACGGATGACGCGATAATTTTACTCATCCAATGTCGTCAATGCAACATGTACCTGCTAATGTAACACGAGTGTCCTTCTAATTGATCTCTCGTTGTCTCGAATTAACGCGACACCGTTAACATGCGGGATAAGTCTCGATAGGCGTTCAACGCCTATCAACGTGCATCTTCAAGTTTCTAATTTTTACCACTTGATAGATGTACCGTTACAACACGTTATTTGCTTCGATGTCATTCACTAGTTTTCGAAACCTGTTGCACGCGAAAGCAGTTGCACTACGTTTTGCATTTGCTTGATTTGACGTATATCTGCCGTTTACATGTTGCACACTGATATAATGGCGGTTCGTAGAATATTAAAACATATCTTATGCAAGATTGTATAATAAAAAATGAAAAATTATTTTTATACGGAAATTCGTATTATATATATCTCATTATTAAATTCTTTAAATATTTTATTAGTAATACAAATAATATCCTTTGCAATTTTTTTCTTGTGCTCTTTCGTTGCACTTTACTGTAATTATTTATGACATTGGTAATAAACATTATTTTAGTCGCGCTAATAAAAAGCGATATTAGAATCGTAAAATATTATGATTTTTAATTTAAATTATCAAATTGAAAAAGATCTTGATTCTTTAAGTAGCAAAGAGATACGAATAAATGAAAGCATCGCGTATTTTAAATAATATCATGTAGCTACAAATGACTTTAGATTCATTAAATAATCCGTAATCAATGGATAATGTCACTCGTATCCTGTAAGTTACGTGTTGGAACGTGTGTCGTACGTTCAATAAGTGACAAGAATGATTTATATGACAATTTCCTGACGAAGCGATTTACTTCAAGGGGGCAGGTGCCACAATTCTAAGCGAAGATAAGACCCTTACTTCAGATTTCAAGGAGCAGATGGTACCCTTACTTATTGAACAGGATAGGCGTGAAAAGAATATTTCGATAAAAGTCAAAAGAGATGTTCTCGCGGAGAAGATACGAGATCACCAGAAGATACAAGCGGTATCATGGAACGCTCGTCGCTAAAAAGAATAAGTCTCGTATAAAAAGGTAGAGAATAATGCGCCAAAAGATATTGCTGATACAACGCATGCAGAAGGATAAGCTACTATTGACTGTGATATTGGATTGATAAAAAAATATTTCTTTCTCATATATATGTTCTCTTATTCTGATAAAAGAGAAGAAAGAAACTAATTCTTTCCAAATAATATGTAATATTTCTAAATAATATATCTAGAGTTAATAGTCTTTCTTAATAATAGACTTCCTTTAATACAACGCGTTTGTCCCATTCTTTTGTTCGCGTAAAACTTAATCCAAACTTAAACCGATTTTAACACGAACGTGCAGGCTAATTAAAAGATCGATTGCGTTCGTCGTTGGCAATGAATAGTAATTTAAATTGAATATCGATCGCAGAGAGAGAGAGAGAGAGAGAGAGAAAGAGAGGAAGAAACAGAGAGCGAAGCAAGATAGCGACGAAGGCATTTGTATGTACACTGAGAAAAAAAAAGTTGTTAACTTGACTAAATGCGTTGAACGTCACGTTTTATGAAACTGGCACGATAACGTCGTTGTCGACGCGCCTTTAGAGTTTCTTCTTATCGCTGGACGGCAACCCGGGTTTCTCTCAATGCGAATGAAACACTCGCGCGATCGTTACACAACCGGGTACAGTAATACCTTCAGATTTCGTCGAGGAAATACTCGATACGATATTATGCCTCTTTGCGAGTCGATTATTCCGCACGTGAGTAGCAAGAAAATACGTTTAAAAATTCTCGATTAAACGATTAGAATCACGGATGTCATTTTGAAGGTTTAATTCTCTCGATAAATTCGTTTAAATTGAAACTTGCACATATCAGATAATACAAATTGTTAAATTATCTTATATAAAATTATATATATCGATATATAAAATAAATTGATATATTATAATGTAAAGTATATATTTTATAAAAGTGTGTTGTTTTCGTAGAAAATATTTAAAAATTATCTATTGTCAGTAAAAAATGTGTGAAAATTTGAATTAGAAATTCTCGCGATATTCTGAGATATAAGTCTTGGAAATGTAGCATGTGATTACGTTGGTATATTTTAGGAACATTGTCTGCTAGACTTTTAGACGCCACACTCGTCTCCTGTCATATGATATTCTCATGGATATCATGATCTCCCAGCGGGATATCTCCCCGAGAGATTCCGCAGATTTCCCTTCATTGTATGGGAATTCAATTAGATTATACAATGTTGCGAGTATCCTAAGACAGATTATTCTAAGATTTATTCTCTTCTGTTGCTTTGGAAAATCGCAGGATTTAATTTAATAATTGCAGGATTCAAAGAATTAAAGCAGAGAGGAACAAACAAAATATCCGGATGATTCGCGATTGTGTAATAATATACTTTCGCTCGCGTGCCAAGGAAACGTTAACGAGCCGGAAACGTATATCTGACCAGAGAGAATTAAACGCTTTAGAAGCCACCTGATCGTGAACCGGAGGCTCAGGTGTTCTCTTAAGCCCCTCCTTTAGCCGACTGTGCGACTTACAATTAGTATGTGTCGGAGTGGCCACGACTCGTAGATACTTTTAAAACAATGAGCTGACATTGGCGGACCCGCAGTGAGTGTTTCGGTGCCGATCGTTAGCGAACTCACCGTATTGTCCCGGTTCTCGCCTTCGCGATAAGTGAATTGTTTTATTGTTCAGTCATTCGTTGTTGCACGTGAGTTCGAGCAGTAAATGCGATTTTTTTTTTGCCAGTTGCGAAGATGTTCATTGTATTTTTCTTAGCCACAGTTTTTTTTTCCGTCCGTAGTCTAAAAGAAGTTTAAAGAAGACGAAGCGATCGTCTCCGATAAAGATTGATCGCTGTATCGTGTACTTTTGGCTCGCTAAGTCTCTCTTCAAAGCGCGAAGACTGCTTTCTTTTGTTGTGTTAGAAGAGAGTGTGGTATGTTGATATTTTATCGTCGAAAATACACAAGGATGGATAAAAGGAAGCAGAGTCTCTTGAAAAGGGCCAAGGACGAAGTCGAATTGGATAGAATGAATAAGCAGAAACAAGACAAGGTAATATTGTCGCTTAAGGGAATTCAATCGAGTTAATGTTCTCGCTTTTGCTATGTCATTGTTATGTCAGTGTAATATTACGCGGCGTAATAATGGGTGTATTTTTTATAGCTGAACTGGCTGCACTAGTTCAGAGTTTATCTTTTTCTCTTCACATTGGAAGGAGGAAGATAAGCTGCGAATACGTACTATGAAAATGATAAAAATAAATAATCTTTAATTATATCTTTAATATTTAAATATCTGCCTCGATAATTCATAATCGAGAAAGAGACGAGTTGTACGTTAAAGAGTTTATGATCGAGATAAAGTGCAATAATTACGCAAGATAGCTTCCTCAGATAAACCAAGCCACGTCCTAAGTAATTTTGCGACAGAAATACCGCATAAAAAGAAATCTCCGAGGTAAGTCCGACTCGAGTGCCCCACATAATAGCTACTATATCTCAGGGAGCTCTTATCGCGACGCAATGAAATCATCCTGTTCGTATAACGGGTGTTCCGGACGCGCTGGTTAAATAACGCGTGAAACACTCGTGAAATAACGCGATCGTCATGGAAATAGCGTATTTGTCCGCGTGGAATTTTCGTCCGAATAGCTTCTCCTGGATATTTCTCAACATATATTTCCGTTTTCGCTTCGTATACTTCGCTTTTTCTTTCTCTCTTTTTCTCGATGCACCTTGCATACCGGCGCGCGAAAAAAGAAGCCGCCCGACGAGACAGGAAAAATAACCATCGCCTTGATAAACGAAAGAGGGGGAAGGGTGGAGAGGGTTGGTCAGTGGAAAACATGGACGGTAAACGTTACGTTCCCTTTTATCACATCTCTCGCGTGTAGGGGAGAGAAGCTCAACTCGCGACGCTCGTCCCCAAGGAGGACAAAAAGAAAGGAGGCAAACACACCGGACGGTCAGATTAATTATAGCGGCGGAACAACAATGGCGCGCGCGGCTTCTTTGTTGGCCCTAATTAAATTGTCTCCCCTTCCTCGCGCGCTCCTTCCATTATCCGTCCAGCCGATCGCCACCTACGGATGATGCTTCTCCTCTCTCGTATCGATAGTGTTTATACGTGACGGAGATCTTAGTTACTCGCACGCCGCATAAGAAAGGACGACGCTCGAAAGAGAGAGAGAAAAGGAGAATGAGACGTTTGCTCGCGTTCGACGACGTGTACGAATGTTTGTTATACAAATGTCTCTCTCTCTGAGATAATAAGAACCGCGAACTGTATGTGTATCTGTACAACGAAGTCTTCCGATGTTCCGATGGAAATACGTGCGGTGTGATATTAACCGGCGAATTAGAGCAGCGGACGGTGTGATGGGTAATGGTCGTCTGCGAGCCAATTAGCGGAAAAGCAAAATAAATGTGCAATTCTCGGGAAAAACAGTTGGGACTCGCGTAAAATTTCTGAGCACGTCGTGGCTTTATTTGATCCCCGGATAGATGCTGTCTTTCATTTGACGTGAATGATCGCGAGGAATAAATCTTTATCTCAGAATGAAAAGTATGTAAAAATGATGGATTTTTTAAAGAATAAATTTTAGTGTATCATTGAATACCAGATTTAGTGTAATTATACGCGAATCTGCGAAAATAAAATTCGCATTCTTTAATTTTATTCAATGTTGTGTGTAAAAGCGTGTTGCAGAATCAATATCTAGAATTAAGAACTTAAAATTAAAAAAAAAAAAAAAATCAGTCAAAACTTGTGTGACCAAATTTATGTGAGATGTTTTATCAATTTTACATCTTGAAAGAAAGAAAGAAAGAAAACGTAAAATATGTATAATATTTAATTTCATAAACATGTCATTGACAGACACAAGAGATGATAAAAACGTTGAAAAGAAATTGATTTATTTCTTAAATAAACCGTAAGATTACGCGTGATTTCTCGCTTTCAAGATCGTGTTCGAATATGAGTGCTTAAACGATACGATTGGTTACACGTTGTATGTAATTTCGCATCATCAAACTTTCATCACGACACTTACAATAAATCATACGTTTTATATTTTGTCGTTGCAGTTGGCTGCCATCGCTCTGAACTTCGGCGTACTGGTGTCCGCCGTTTACGAGGGCATTTACGCCCGAAGAGGCGGCGACCCGACCAAGATTAGGGTCGTCGCGGATCCTCGTGGAGGTACTATAAATAATCCAGGATATCGGGAATATCACCAACCAACGAACGGTAAGACCAGAATGGACAGTCGTTTAATTTCACGAAATTCTACCTCGCAACTCGACCCTCTGTACGTGCGCGCGCGCGCGCGCGCGTGTGTGTGTGTGTTTTAGATGCAACATTTGACGTTGATATCTAGAACGGAAACGTGCCAAACGATTAATAGGATTAATGACGTTAATGCGATTAACGCCTGGCCTCAAAGCACGTCCAATCAGTCAAAACTTGTGTGACCAAATTTATGTGAGATGTTTTATCAATTTTACATCTTGAAAGAAAGAAAGAAAGAAAACGTAAAATATGTATAATATTTAATTTCATAAACATGTCATTGACAGACACAAGAGATGATAAAAACGTTGAAAAGAAATTGATTTATTTCTTAAATAAACCGTAAGATTACGCGTGATTTCTCGCTTTCAAGATCGTGTTCGAATATGAGTGCTTAAACGATACGATTGGTTACACGTTGTATGTAATTTCGCATCATCAAACTTTCATCACGACACTTACAATAAATCATACGTTTTATATTTTGTCGTTGCAGTTGGCTGCCATCGCTCTGAACTTCGGCGTACTGGTGTCCGCCGTTTACGAGGGCATTTACGCCCGAAGAGGCGGCGACCCGACCAAGATTAGGGTCGTCGCGGATCCTCGTGGAGGTACTATAAATAATCCAGGATATCGGGAATATCACCAACCAACGAACGGTAAGACCAGAATGGACAGTCGTTTAATTTCACGAAATTCTACCTCGCAACTCGACCCTCTGTACGTGCGCGCGCGCGCGCGCGCGTGTGTGTGTGTGTTTTAGATGCAACATTTGACGTTGATATCTAGAACGGAAACGTGCCAAACGATTAATAGGATTAATGACGTTAATGCGATTAACGCCTGGCCTCAAAGCACGTCCATTTAAACGCAAGATATATGCATGTTGTGCCTTGATACTTCATTATCGTTCGTGTTTAATATTAAATATGATAAACATGATAAAGCCACGGTTTAATATATTATGAATATTATATAATATTCATAATATATATTCATTATAAATTATGAAAACTCTGAATAAAGTATTTAAACTCTTAAACAACATTTTCGGCTTTTTTAATGCAATTTTCAACGGCTATATACTTTCTCCGTGTTACATCATCCCGAATGAGGTATCTCTCTTCATTAACGCGCCGCATTTTTTCTTTCTGAAACAACACATCTGGTCTCTTGTTTCGCCGCGAAATTACGGTAATTTATATCGCGCGTAGATCATATTTGCTGATATTTAGCCGACTTATATACCGAAAGATATTCATTTAACCGGCTGACGGGAAGTCGATATACCTCTCACGGAAGAGAAATACGTCTGGAAATGAAAGTGATGAAATTCGGAGAACGCTATGTGTGTAAATAGACGCATGGAGGCAAAAGGGGATGAGATGATTACGGGGTGCGACTATGCTCTCTCGCGTGATTACGCTTTACTTGCGATCTTATATGTGAATATAGGATACGTGCGGCAGGATTGTAGTGTATCTCTCGGCGTATTTGCTTATCGTACTATATAGCGGATGCTCTAAACAGCCCATCGCAATATTAACGACTATGTTACGCTCGCGGGGCTTACTCCACGTATCGTTACGTATAAAACCTTTTCCGAATTTATTTTCTCGTATAATTTACAAGTTTAATCTTATTCCACGTTCGATCTCGTGAAAGAAAATGATTTTTTAGTTCTAGAATTCGTGTAATGTATATCAATGATGCAGCATTGCATCGTTTTATTAGCCGCACATAATTTATAATGTTGATATAATTTTATACAATATTAATATTAATAATATTACTCAAATATGAGTAATAAATATACGAAGAGTTTTATAAAAATTGGAGAGGGTCCTTTTTTTTATATTGAATATTTTTATCTATTATTAATACGTTTAATAATGAACTACGATTGCACGGAGTTAACTTGATGAAATTGTCGCATTATTGACGCGATATATCATATTTACGCATAATGCAATGATAGTTTGATACTTTTCTTCCGATACCACATCCTTACTAGCAACCGATATTTATTCTCGATAACTTAATTTTTCGGCAATTGAACATTTACTTGTTTAACAATGCCTGGCACTACAATCGCACGGAGCTCGTTTGACGGAACTGTCGCATACTCGCCCTATCGGCGTGAAAAACTGTATAAACGCATAGTACGACAATCGCCCGATACGTTTTCCGGCATTCCCGATACTACACAAATTTATTCAGAGATGATATTTATTATCAATAACCGAAAAAGTCATAATTCGGAGCTACGAAATGGGAGAGCGATATATCAAATGTTTAATAATTTTTTAAGACACCCTGTACATTATTAAGAAGCAAATATTGCGTATAATCAGTGCATTTAAACACGATTATATAAAAAAACAATGCGAACGACAATTTTTTTGAATTTAGTTCTTATATCTCTCAAAATATATAAATTAATTTCAAAAAAAGTCAGAGGAACGCTATACTGGACACTTACCGATAACACATATTCGAAGCTACATAGCTGTCTGGATTTCGCGGAATTCACTCGACCAAATTATCGTACGTTTTCACTACCGACATGAATTTTTTCGGCACTCCCGATACTGCACAGACTTATTCGTAAACGATATTTATTCTCAATAAATGTGCGCGAGAAGTCGTAACTCGGATGTGACGAGACAAGCGATTCTCAACGTCCGTAATGCCGTATCGCAATATAATCACGATAACGATCGTAATCGCAGCGTTAATCTCAGCGATCGACCGATTCCTCAACACTCACGATACTCGCGATCGCGATTATATTTACACCACAAAATCCCGACGCGTCCTACGCGAATGATCGCGCACAACACAATGGCGGACACACGAGCGGCAAAACACAAAATATCTCAATATCTCAATTTCCGCTTCCGCTAGATAATTTCGATTCCGTGATCCCGAGACACTAGAATTAGTCGAATATGTCTGTTGGACGTCATCGAAGACTAGTTTTATTAAACGAATAGTATATGTATTTTGCGCTAGTTTCTTTTAAGCGCGACGTTTCTATTAATCGAACAGTATATGCATTTGGCGCTAGTTTCTTTTAAATGTGACGTTTTTATTAAACGAGTAGTATATGCATTTGCCACTAGTTTTTTTAAATGCGACATTTTTATTAAAATGAAATATATGCATCTTGTACACTAATAAATATGTATTGAACATAAACGTGGCATTAACGCATATATATGTAGAACGCATGAATGATATGATAAAATAACTTCATCATTTGTTATTAACAAATGTATCACAATATCCATTACGCGATTTATCATTGATTATCATAATTGATTATTTATTATTTTTGACATTATTATAAATTGAGTAACGGGCACGTATCTGTATGTATATCTGACAAGAATGCGAAAGTTCAGATTATTCCAAGAGTGATAATCGAGATGGTATTAAGCGAGGAATTATATTGAAAAATACGAGGACGGAAAGATATTCTCGGAAACGAGCTCGGTCGCTTTGTTTATAATATACGGTAACGTGAGTTGATTCATTTAAAAAAGCGATAAAATATCTCATCGTACGGTAATTTCTGCAGAAATTGAAACGAGATAAACACGTGCGACTCTAGAAAAAGATAGAAAACTAGAAAGGAAGGAGCGACGAAAGAAAGAAAGAGAAAGAGAGAGAGAGAGAATCTCTCGAATTCACGTTTCTTAAAACTCTTATCTGACGATCGAGAATAAGATATAGAAAAGTTTCGAAGACGCGATGAACGTTTCGCTTTGTTTCTCTTTCTTCGTGAGAGTATCTCTATCCTTTTCAGGGGGCCGAACTCTAGACCACGTGCTTATCTCCTTTCACAGGATTCGTCGTGTTCAATATAACTACCGTGTATCTTATGTCGTGTTACATTCCTAAGCACACGTACACACGCCAATACACGTACACATGTCAATACACGTACACACGTAAAGCGGCTGAGATCGTTTTCGAGAATCTCTATCCTTCTCTTTCTGTCCTTGTCAGAGTCGCACGCTTATCTCGTTTCAAGGCCTCGCTACTTGTATATATATAAACATAAACATAAACAAGCGGCCGAACTCGCTTCTCCCTCTACTCATACATCATGCGAGGTCGCATCTAATATTTTTCTGTTTCTTGCTTAGTACTGTCTCGACTACCGCGAAGATCGGTCTAAACCAAAACTTTTCACAATTCTCACTCGTGTGTTATATTCGATACACGCGTTTATATTCAATCATATATACATATATATTACATAAGTATATTAATGTCGTATTTAACAGAAATATTTTTATATTTAATAGAAATTAGCGTTCGAATATAATTAATGTCGTGACGATATTTAATTCGCGCGTTTCGAGAATCGAAAATAATATTTCGGGTAGTGCTCTGACGGAATCGAAAGTTGAGATATTTCGTGCTCATCTGTACAGTTTATATATTCGCGGTATCGTTTATTAAATATTACTGCGAGTGTCAAAAGAAATAAAATCGATCGACCTTGCGACAGCCACATTTGATTCGCGTAGTGTCTCGAAATCATGGAATTGGACCGGGCTAGCGGAAGCGGAAATTGAGATATTGAGATATTTAGCGTTTTGGCGCTCGTGTGTCCGCCATTGTGTTGTGCGCGGTCATTCGCGTAGGACGCGTCGGGATTTTGTGGTGTAAATATAATCGCGATCGCGAGTATCGTGAGTGTTGAGGAATCGATCGTTCGCTGAGATTAACGCTGCGATTACGATCGTTATCGTGATTATATTGCGATACGGCATTACGGACGTTGAGAATCGCTTGTCTCGTCACATCCGAGTTACGACTTCTCGCGCACATTTATTGAGAATAGATATCGTGTACGAATAAGTCTGTGCAGTATCGGGAGTGCCGAAAAAAGTTATGTCGGTAGTGAAAACGTATGATAATTCGATCGAGTGAATTCCGCGAATTTTAGATAGCTATGAAACTTTAGATTTATGTGTTAACGGTAAGTGTCCAGTACAACGTCCATCTTTGAATTTATTTATTTATTTTTTTTTTTTAATTTACAATTTTTATATTTTAAGAAACAGATAATTAATTCAAAAAAATTGTTGCTTTTTTTTTTTATCGTTTGGATGCAGTGATTATATGCAATATTTGCTTTTTAATAATGTACAGAGTGTCTTAAAAAACCATCAAACATTTTATATCTCGCTCTCTTATTTCGTAACTCGCAAGCCTCCGCGTGATATTTCTCTTGCATATTACATAAGGATTGTTCCACCCTAATTCCCGCGATATATATTACACATCTGTGACATATCTCTCGACGTTGTAAAATTTCTCATTAGTTTGAAAGTACTTGTAATAAAACTTTCACGACGCATGTTAATAACGATCGCGAGAGATGATCGCGTAATTCATTCCTAATCTTGTTACAGGTGGTTCGATCTCGATGACAGACGCGAGTGGCAAGCCGTACGTCGGCGGGGCGGGAAACGGATCGACGGCGTCGGTGGCGACTTCCGGGAGCGCGGCCAGCACGGCCTCGCCTCTCAGGAGCTCGCTGAAGAAGCCGAAACCCCTTGGTATCCATAATCCTGGCTTTTCCGCGCATAGCCCGACCCTATCCAGGAACGGTTCGCAAAAGAAAGTGCGTATACAGACGCACTCGACGGAAGTTTAGCCGACGCCTTTCTCTCTCCTGTCACGTTATTGACGCGAGAGCTTGCTACGTAGTAGTCACAAGTGTCGATCGCTTAAGGACGCTGTGACAGGAAATCAGATGACGGCGACGAGACTACGAGTCTACTAGAAATAGTTTCACGAGGTACGTTTCATTAACGGTAGGTGATCTCCGATATTAATGTCGTTCATTTTCGTGCAATTAAGAACGAAATCGAAGTTTGCGTCTAACTGCTTCGTCATAGTCGGTGACATCGTCCGATGATTTCAATATCATGGACTTTTAATTAATTCCGAAGAAGAAAATTGAATCACGTTCGCGAGAAATTTATCGTTACTACGGTGGAATGTAAATAGGCTGATAAACGCGATCGATAATCGCCAGAGCTCTCCGAAGCTACCTGAATTAAATATTAAGCGAATCCACACAAACACGAGATTGATGGTAAATCGTTAAGTATTACGTGACTTTACACTTTTCTACTATATCAATAAATAATCTTTATTCGATATAAATCGATTAATGGAATATGGATAGTGAACTATAAGAGTACTAGTGAAAAAATAGAATGGACAAAAATAAAGAAATTTATCAATATTGAAGGAAACAGAATTAATATTATTATATAAAAATTGTTATCGTGATGCATGTATATTGATAAAGAAAATTAAGTATGCATTATGTAAGTGTGTGTAAAATAGAAAATAAATTCTGATTTAATATCTATTTTCTCAAGTCTTACGAAGTATCAGTAATAAAATTCGCATATATTATATATGTTTATACAGGGTATCACAATCAGAAATTTAACATTTAATTTTAATATTGATTATAAATTGTGTATTAAGCTTATCACAAATAAAAGTCAATTCTTATTTTTTTTTTTCTAATTTTTGGACGAAAATATTATGAAAAAATTACAATAAAAATATGAATTTTGATTGAACAGGAATAGAAAAAGATATTATTAACTCTAATAAAATTTTATGATAAAATTTATGAAATGAAGAATACATATACATATATATGGATATGTGCATTCTATTTCAAGGCTTTAATTCTTTAATATAATTCCATTCTATTTTTTTGCCTTAAGTACATTTGTATTTACACGCCAAAAAAAAAGAACTGATAATAAACAAGAGAAATCGTTGGGATAATGCAACGATTGGAAAAAATTCTTGCTTTCTTCGTGAAACTTGAAGGCGAAAACGTACAAGCGATACAAAATTCACATGTATGTACGTGGTTTAAAATAACATCACAAATATGATCTCCATTTTACGCATCTTTTATTTGTACGTCGAGAGGAATTCGTTAATTACATATTGGGAATTTTTAATTAGATTTTCAACTTGTTTCAAAAACGCAAGTACCAAATAATCCTGCTTGTGATATAACATATGATGATTATCTCAGTCGCAAGTGTTGCCGGAGAGTTATTACATAACCGTATTCACATGAACTGCAATAGATAATCTTTCACCATTTAATTAAGCGTAACGTCAGAGTTTAATTGAATATTAAGCTCGATAAATTAAGTTGCAAAGTTCACAACATACGGTCTCTACATATGTTACATACGCGCATACAATTAATATGACTACGTTTCTATCGTAATTAGGTATGTATTGTGTATTCTAACTGAAAAAAACTTGACTGTTAATATAGTGATAGTTGTGTAAAATGTTTAAAAATTTTCAAGAGCGACGATATATATCTATATAGTAAACTGCATTAAAATATGTATAGATTTCTATACAGACACGGCAATGAATCGCGTTACCGAATTTAATAATTAACATTTTTTTCAATTTAATATGTAAATATTTCAATGTTGTGTAATCTTATATTATTATTAGTATTATCAACTATTTTCCGTCCAAACAAGTACTTTGTAACATTTAGTATTAATGTTTTTTCTTATTGAAGTAATATTCGTGATACATCGCACTTATTATGTAGAAATTGTTACATATTTTAAAAGTCACAATTTATAATTATGTTGCATAATACAATTCGATTTAACAAAAAAGAAATTATATTAATAAGAACTGCTTGAATCGATTAATGCTAATTGTAATCAATTTAACATTTTAGCACTTTGTATGTCAATAATTGAATTTTAATGTAGAAAGAATTAATTACTTAATAGCAAATTTTTTATACTGCAAATATCATAATTTTCTCTCAAGAGAAATTTAATCGTTGATTATTACTGTTCGGCTAATAACGGATTGCCGTGAAAGTCGCAGGATACGTGATACGCTTTTTTTTTTCTTTTTCTTTCTTTATTATATTTTCTCTTACATTATTTTATCCTTATAACAGTATACTCTTGCTTTTCCTCGCCGCGAGAGGAAGGTGAAATTATATTATAGCACATCGCATCCGTCCAGCCCTACGTAGGCAGCTAGCCGTGAAACGGCAAGAAAAAGAGAGAGATATATATTATAAATACATCAAATTAGCAATCTACACCAATATAATTACATCAATATAATGAACAATAATAATGAAGGAAGAATTGTTTATTAAATTTTTGAAGCATAATTTCATAAAAGTCATCATTTCTTTAAAAATGCTATTTGATTATTTGACAAGCTCTAATAATTAATTTATATATTGCTTCATAAAATAATATCAACAAAGAAAGCTTGTATAGTTTAAAAAAACAATCTGTGTAATTTTATTAATATTGTATAAAAATCAATATTATCAGCAGTAATATATTCAAAATTTACGCTGTTAAATTTACGCTGGTTGCAAAATTATCACTGCAACTACATTCTCATGTCATTCTGCGATACTAAGATTGTTATAGTATATTTCGTTTCATTGTTATCGTTAACTAGATAATGTTAACAATTAACTTCTATTATATATTGATTTAGATACCGAGCCGATCAACGATGTAATCGTGTATACTGTACATATCTATATACGGATATTCGTTCACGTTCAAATTTGAACGGCACATTTGTCACATTTGCACCAATCTACTTGTTAAGCAGGCTGTTTTTGTAAAGTTCGTACGTACTCGATGATATTACGACCGTGATGTAAGTGCTTGTCAAGGACAGCACAGTAAAAAATTGAATAATAAACGCATTTCAAATAAAATGCATTTTTCAGAGGATAGATATTTATCTTCTATATCGATAAAATGCTATAGTGACGTAAATATTCCAAGAACATCACTGTCACGTATGTCAAGGTTACACTGTATACAGTCAGTGACACCTGTCCATCTTGTCCTGATACCGCTTATCTCCTTTTCATTAGAACGTAATGATATATATATATTAACAGCGACAATCATCGTAAAACGATGGTAATATTAAAAAAGATATTTTTGTATTTTTAAATTATTTTATATTTTGTGATATTTATTTTTTGAGAGAAATGGATATTAATCTTATAGAATATTGTTGTCTTATTGATTAGTAATAAAACAAAACATTGAGATATGTGTAAGGATAATGTAGGAAATGAGGATTTAGAGAGAGAAGTACTCGACAATTAATTTTATCAGATATTGATTTGATGTGGGATGAGGTTGAAATAAGATGCAATGCATGATAAAAAATTAACTTTTATTTATTACCTAGATTGAAAAAAAAAACTTAACGACGACAATAATATGACGCATGCCTCCCTCACGGCAGTTCGCAATAATAATCATGTCGTGGAGAGGACAAATTAGAAAAGACGAATCAAATTTCAGACTCTCGATCATTTACAAGTGACGAGACATAACAATTTTCAGATTGATGTCGAGCAACTGCAACAATTTTTAATATTTACATTGCGAAGACTGAGGTAAAATGTTCTACGTATGCGTTCCACATCAATTTTCCTGTCCTTTTGAGCACCCATCGTCTAACAATGCCTCGTCGCGAAGGGTCGATAAGATGTCGTCGCGAAATGAGAATGCGCATTCCATGACGGAGATCCCTCGCGAGCACAAGGACAGCACTTAATCTAGGAACCAACTGACATTTCGCGACAATCAAGTCTCGCGAGATCACGAGAAACGGAGGAAGACTTTTTTTAAGGCCACGCCTAATCAACGGCAGTGATTGCCGCTCTATCGAATCGAGATTGGAGATCAATTGTGCGAAATGAAGAAAGATGCGCGTTATCGAAGGATGGCATATTTTTTTGCAGAGATGACAAAACATTACGATAGATTGAGTCGAGACAATCGCTGAAAGAAAGACACACATATAAGCCAAAACGTTTTATGAAAAAAAACATTCTCAGAGTTTTTATTTTATTTTATACAGTATTTTTCCCCAAACACACAGGAGAGAATACAAATTTTTTAGCTATTAATAAGAATAGTTATTGGATTAAAAATTCGCAAAATTATGTTTTCTTTTTCACAGCCATCGCCTCGACTTTGTATTCTTACAAATAACAAACTTAAAAATTATTTACGCTTTTTCTATAACTTTATATATTTTATAATCAATATATCGAGCGGTTATACAGATATAAAGCTGCCAGTAGACAAGTACCTTGCTTTCCTTCTTCTTCTTTCTTCTTTTATAGCACTTTTTTATGTTCTTGAACTTTCTTATTTATATTTAGAGCGATATTTTTGAAAAATATGCAGAAATAAAATATGCTACTGTCTGCTTTAGGATGCTCATATCTATATTTATTGAGAATATATCGCAGTATCGATAAATCTTTGCGACGTATTCTCACTTTATTCAGAATAACAAACTTTCGTAGAGTTGAGTTTCAAGAAGGAAACTTAGTGTCTTCTTTGTGCAAAATTGCTTTTACTATAATAATTCAAACTAATGTTTTGTTATAAAACGATAAATGGGAAAAATATTCGTTTGCTTCCAACTTTTCTCGAGACATTTCCAAGTTGTATCGACTTCAAGATCGATGCAATCGAATTTTTGTCGAGAGATTAGATTTTTATTTCTAAAAAAATTTATTTGCTGCTATACATATATATAAATATATTAATGACTAGATGAAATATCTTAATCTACCGCTGAGATATCGACAATCAATCTCGAATCTCGATTCGATATGTCAATCGCGAATAATTTAAAAGTATCCCTCCCGATCTTTCGGCGCGCTGGAGATCAATTCCCGTCTCTTCCACACCGGTTGTGCCTGTACGCGTTGAGTCTGCGTCGTTGTCATCGCCGAGGTGACGGAGGACGATATCGCTGACGTAGACGTCACGCCAAGCGACGTCTTGCCTGCTAGGGTGTCGGCGTCGGGTATGTGGCGTGTCTGATGCCTCGTGTCCGTGTAACGCCTCTTCGTGTACTTTTTGCTTTCGCTGGAGGTCACCGTCGAGTTCTTGCTCGTCTGCAGGGTCGATGCGAGGTCGACGTCCCGCCGCGAGATCTGCAGCATTCTCTCGATATCGGCGGTCTTGGACCTGAATCACGCGAGCGTACAAATTCGCGTTAGATCGCACCAAGTATTAGCAGAATTTATTCGAAACCAGCTTACATTCTTATACGAGATTATACGAAAGGAAATAATTTTTACCTCTTTATAAATTACACTTGTTCGATCAGTAACGTTAATCGCGAGATTAAGCTATATGTCGTAATAATTAAATTTTCAAATATGCAAACAACTATTCGTGTGTAAGAAACTTTGACTGTTAACAAGTCTAATCCATATAGTTGATTAATAACAGAGGATTAATGGAGAATCTTATCGAAATTTTGCGTTAACATATTTCTTACTTATTTGCAACTTGAAGAGCTTTTGTAGGAGAGTTTGTGCGCAAGACAATAAACTGTATCTTAAATTTATGAAATAAAACGAAAGTTTGTCTACGCGATACGTCTTCGAAAACTATTTATGAGGTAAATAGATTATTGTTACAACGGTTAAATGAAAGATGGGTCCGTATCCACACAGACATCAATCTTAATAAAAAAATCATAACAACTGGTGTATCCAGCAAGTCGTATTAAACTTTGCGAAGACTTTACAGCTTGGAGACAGGAGGAGTAAGGAGGAGGCAAGGAGAGAAAAGGTATAACCGCGACGGAATATACTCGCCTCAAAACTGCACCGCCGATGCTGGTGATGCTCGGCGTGTACGGCGCCGCTGTACTCCTGCTTGTTTCCTGCTGGCCGGTCGTCCTGCCCACTTGCCTCACCTCGCTCGAGGTCGTGAACGAGACCCTTTGGAGAACCGCTTGCTGATCCGGGATGTACGAGACGGCGGTGACCGCGCTATCGGGACTCGCCGGGGGCGACGACGCCCACGACGGCGGGGAGCTCGGTGCTTGATCACCCGACAGGGTCGCCGAGGAACCCACAGCGCTGTCACTTCCGTGTCTTCCACCTGAAAGCGATGATATTAGATTGAGAACGTGGAACACGATTCGAGATTTTTAATTCCATCATAAATTGTTATAGATATATACAGCATGTCTATATAGCTAAGAGAGAGAACCCGCGCAAAGCATAGTTTATTTTAGATCCGCAAGCTTAGATATATATAGCTTTATTTACTTCTTCTTAATAGTTTATTTAAAGAAGATTCCAAAAGCTTTAGATAGATTTATTTATTGCTTCGCCTTAATCGCTACTATATTATTAAGTTATAGCTATAGCTGTTTGTGTATTTTAAAATTTATTTGGAATTAATGTCTGACTATAAAACGCGAATTAATATGTCATATATATGGATAATTTATTGTATGGAATTAATTTCAGTATAAAACTATTGTATGCAATTTGTACATCGTTCATGTTTTCAAATTTTTTTTTTCCGTCTTTAATATCTATGGAACGATATCAACTTATATATGAAAGGCGAACCTTCGCTGCAACCGGAGATGGATCTCTGCCTCTGCCGCCTCGGGGGAGCGCTTGGTTGCTTCGGTGCCTCCTCGATGTAAGGAATGTCCGGATCGTCGAGATTCAGGGTGAACGCGTCGGACATGGGTATGGTGAGACTAGCGGTAATTACTACTGGTGAAGATCTTCGGCGAGGATCAGACGGATCCTCGCTCGATCCGCTATCGACGCTGTTGCTCCTGCCCTCCTCCTTCCTCCTGCTTCCTGGTCTCTTGGGCCGTCGCGGTCTTGGTCCTATGTCACCGCCTACGCCGGCAGTCTGATGTAGACACTGCTCTCTCGTCCACATCTGAAGCAAGAAGATTAATCTGTTTCCAATTAACATTATCCGTGATATAAATTTAAGAATAAGATAATGTTTAGATAATGATGAAATATTGCTGAGATATAAAATTATATTTTTTATGTAATCTTGTATAATCTTAAATTTAATTTCTCTTGGATTTTCAGTTCAAAGCAATTTGAGTATTTTAAATTCTTGTTTAATTAATCAAGTTTGAAAATATCATAAAGTCGAATTGCTTTTATTACTGAAAAGCGTTCGCATGCATTTTGATAAAACTCAAAAAACAATGTAATTTCGAAAGATATGTAACTTCAAAATCGCAGATTGTATATCTGAATACATAATGGAAGCATAGCCTTAAAGAAAGAGTAGTTCAAATCTAAAATTTAGGAGAGTTTAGTTTGATGTTAAGAGTGAATTTTGTAATTACGAGCTTAGTTCATTCTTGTTCCAAACGTTTAAATTATACATTTAAACACACAATGTTCAAGAGAGTCTTTGGCGATGCTCATGAAATCAATCCTTTTTTTTTAAGCCCATTCCTTTGTCTCTCTCTCATCTCGAGTTTCAAACGTTAAATTTAACTGTCGGATAAACGTATATAAAATACATGATTGTAGCACCTTTCTCGTCGACGTCGTCGTTGACGCAGTGTTTGTTGACATAGTTAGCGTCTCCTCCACAGAAAACGTCTCCGCTTCGCTGCAGGGATCCGCATCATCTCCGCATTGCCTACAAAAGCACGTACGGAATTTTACTTCAACGTTTGTGTCTTGATATTGTTACACTACGATTCTCAAGGGCATAAATATGCAAGGTACATCCTTACCTCGCGGCATCGATCGCCGCTCATGAACGAGAGACTCAGCGCCCGTTAGGTCAAGGACAAAATTCACAACCCAAAAAACTACTTTTCTCGGGATATAAAATATTCGATAAAATATTTTATGGAATATAGAACCTCAGAGACCGATATGTAACACCGTCAGTTTTATAACTTCAAGTCTATAGAACCAGTATAGTTACATGACACTTTAGAACTTTAACAAATGTATATACATACTTTATAAGTTTTTATGTAACTCATAGCTGTATTTGTTGTTTCTGTAATTTTGTGTTGTATTTTATTTCTTTGTTTCTACTAAAGCTACAGAATGTTTAGAGTTTAGATGATACTTTACCAGAACAATCGTGCAATAATTATGAGAAAAGGCAAATATGATAATGATGAATAATAATTATTATACACAAGTGATAAATATATTTATATTTCGGACACTATTAAATTACAAAATGATGAAGATTCCTCTAAAGGCTAACAAAAGAAAATTCTCGTTTTCGGCAACGATAGTTATCATTCAAAACTATCGCGATTCGGTATAAAACGATCGAAATATCTATGCATCTCTTCCGTGGCTATTAATCGATTATTTGGGAAGACGACAATAAAGCACGATACTCACTCTTCGACGCGACGAGACAGCGCGATATCCAACTCCGCTGGATGGGTATCCATCATATGCTGGTACACTTCGTCCAGCAACGCCGCCGGTACCATGAACAAGGTCGATGTGTGTTCCAGGAGTGCTCGCATGACGTTTATCACATCTATCCTCTCCTCGGCTCTCTCCGCCGAGACCTCGGACCTCATCTGACTGGGCTTCACGCAGTGCAGGATATTCGGGGCGAACACCTGGAACATGCATACGATCATATTTTTGATTTTGCGCTTCGTCAGCAATACGACGTTATTGATTTCTAATTTAATTAACGTGGCTTTTTTTCGTCGCGATGATTGACGATAGCCGAGAGCGCGTGTCGACTGCTGAATTAATTAATCTCTTGCTTGGACAGGAATTTCCGTCGCGATATATACGATTGACATGTAGCAGAATCTTGTACGAGACGCAAAATCGAAGTTAATTTTCAATCTGCCAAGTAAACAATTTCTCGATTTCTCCGATATCTCTTAAACAATATTTCTCGATGTCGCCTGTATGTGCAATTAAAAAAACGACGCGAGTATGTTTGTAGAGTAATTACAAGCGATTTAAATTGATTTTTGAGAAATTTATATTACTGTACATATAATTAAAAAACGAGAATTTTCAGATATATACAAATAAAAATATCCATTACACACACTTATATAGAGACGTTTACAAAGATCGAAGTTAACTCTATTTTATATAGCAGATTAATTAAGAAAAAAGAATCAGAGAAAAACGCAAGAACTTCGCCGTATTTCAGTTGATAAAGAATTCTCGCGTATCTGGATTAAGAGAGAAGTCAATGAGATTCAACGCGCGATTCGAAGAAAAAGAACAGAAGTATCGAAAAGAAATCAAAGTCGAAAAGTGTCAGCGCACGCGGTACTAACAGTTGCGAGATTCGTCGTATCCATTTTATTCCCCGGAATCCAATCCCCGGTCTCGCTCTTCTGGTCCTCGCTGTTGGACGCGACGACGCTCAAGAAGTTCAAAAGTGCCCAGAGTGTCTCGCGATTGGGCGTGGGTAGAAGTTGAATGAGATGCTGTAGAGCTTCCTGCTGCAAACGTCTGTTCCTGATCTCTGTAAGGCATTTGAATGACTCGCGTTTTATCGCGTTTTCGTCGAAAACGTGATTCCACGTGGAAATGGGAAGATTTGAAAATTGGAAGTCGCAGAGGAAAAAAAGAATCAAACGGGAAAAACAATCGACAATAAATTTTCGAAAATCAGCAATGCAAATCAAACTGTCCATGGATTACGAGCTGAGGTAGAAAACGGGAGATAATATTCGTGAACAGCTTATGTTGGATTAGAATCTTGCTTACTTTGTGTATGTACGAAGGCTTGATATAGTTCCCTGCAAAGCAGAGGATCTGGCAAATCGCGGAAATATTCCTTCAGGAGGGTGGCTACATCGTGGGGGCACTGGTCGATGCCTATCTTGGTCTCCCGACCACAATCAAAGTCTTCTCTTAACTGGAATTAATCAAACGTCACGCATAAGATTGCATAAATAATGTACCCCTTTTAAAGAGAGAGAACAGATCTTATCTATAATTATATCATTTGACTTGCTTTAAATAGAAGTAAGTAACTAATCTGTATTCTCAAAGTAATCCGTTTTCCGTTTGATAAATGTTTAATTCCTATCGACGATTATAATACGCAATAATGGACAATATTACGGAGACTAAGATAGAATCCGATAACGTGCACAGATTAATGTAGGATATATCTGAATAAGAATAAAGAGAATATATGAAAAAGAATTTTTAATTTAAGCTAATATTAAACCGAAAAACAGTGACTGAATTATCATATTAATTTTTTGCCAACAAAAGCGTATGATTTTCGTCTAAATTTATACTTTTTTGCATTTTTTTTAAAGAAAAAAAAACAACAAGAAAAATTACAAGATACACAGAATAATTGGAAGGAAATGAGACAATTTTATAAGTAATCTTCAATCATCTCGCAATATCTTTTATACATCAGGAAGATACTTGTCACCGACAAAACTTCTATTTCTGGCATCAAAGTATTTTTGTCGTTATTGAAAGAAAACGTCATACCTGCCTCACCCTCTTCTTCGAGGGTGATACGCGGAACACGCCTAGCGTTCGGAGACCAGTGGCCTCGAGATGCCTAATGCATTGCCTTACGATGTTTGGTACCACGTCCCATTCACCGGCGGAGCTTCCTCCGCCACTGTCGCTCAGCTCGAGCACCCCGGAATCACTTCCCGTGAGAGCACCGCCTTTCGACGACAAAGACTCGCAGGAGCCTCCCTAGGTCAATAAAGGAAAATATCATTTGCATAAAAGAAGGTAAGTGGACATAGAAACAGTAGACGAGATAGATGACAATTTGTGATATTCCGAATTATATATAATGCTGATTTTTTTTAAGTAAAATGTTCCATGGCCTCTATTTGTTCATTTTTAAGCTAGAATGCGTATATTTAACACATTGACATTTAATGAGCGATTTATGTATAAAATCAGATGTTTAATATCACAAGTAAATCTGTACAGATGATATCATTTTGTACATCGATTAATTTTCTTTAAATCTTGTAAGAAAATTAGATCATTCATGTCAAATATGCACATATCCCATAATGGAGCATTCAAGCAGTAGAATTGCTTTCTTAGTGTGTCGAGAACGCTAAAATAAAGTCCTTCGCGAAATTGAGGGTTCTTAATTAATCCGCGGTTAAAATTAGCGATCCCGTTCCCGTTCTATTCGCGTCTCCGAATCCATGATGTCACCTCGGACGCGAGAGACGCACGTGACGTCGACACGAGAATTCTACGTAGCCCTCCTCACGTTGTACGTATATCGATTGATCAATCAGGTTAGGCGTGGTCTCGTAAAGATGCCAAGAGGAACGATAAGTAGAGATAGACCGATTAGATCTTGGACGATATCTTTCCGATTTTAAACATGATTTTTGAGAATAATTTTCGCCAAGTTTGCTCTATTTCTTCGGACTATGAGAAAAGCGAAACGAAATTCTTTTTTTTTTTTTTAATTTACTTTCGATAAAAATAACATTTATCGTCACATTTTTCATGAAAGTCAGTTTTATCAGATTTTAAGAGAATGATGAGGCAATTAATGTGCTATTACTTAACATCGTATCGTAAATTATACGATAGAATTTCTTGCATAATGAAAACTGGCTGCAAAAATTTTTCGTGTCACTCAAAGTATAAAGCATAATCTCTTTTTCTCGTTCTTTACAATATGTTAATCATTTAATATCATTTATCGAGTAGCCGGAAGTAAACCGCAAAACACACACGCGAGGGCGGTTGGAGATATTATAAAATATATCGATGCTATTTCTGCCGATGAAGCATAGATATTTCGGGTCTCGCAAACAGCTGATTTAGCCTCTGGTTGTAAAAATTTCAAGTGCAAGCGACACATCAATTTCTAGTTACGTCGGCGCTTTATTACTGTGATTAATTATCTCGATCGATTCGACCGATTATTTTGTTTCTATATTTCCCTTATTGCTTTCTCCTCGTGTCTCTAATAAGATTTTATTCTTTTCTCTCTTCATTTTTGCTTTTGTATTGTTTCTTATTTTAATTAACTTTTGTTTCTTATTATAATTTTTTGATTTCCCTAACACACATTGATAAATTCGTACTAATAGGAATATCTACTTCTCCTATATATGTAGGCGTACATACAAGGTATTCTATTAATATTGGGTGCTTTCATTATCAGATAATTTAATAATCGTAATTCTTTAATTTTTAACATTGAATATCGGGATTAAACCTTGAATGAAATAAATACGTACACTTACATAGATACCGCTTGAAATAAATTGAAGAAACAAAGTTTTATATCATGTCTTAAAATATTTTCTTTAAGCTTATTTATATTCGAGGAAAATGTCTTGATTTTCAATCGTATGTAACAACTCTTCTCAGATAAAATACTTTTACATATAATTTAGTGTAAATAATTTTTCGTATCAATTGCATCTGGATCCATGTTTAAGAGAGAGAGAAAATATGTTAATTCTGGAATAGTGGTATAGAAACAAACAGGAAACGTAGGTGGGAAAAGCCAATTTCCCCCGATCGTTCGGAATAATGAGATTCGTCAATGTCGACTGCTATAGGAGTCGATTGCGGAAGTGCGTTGGTGCGTCGTTACAGCTTCCGAGTATCTCGATTCAAATTTGTGGCGTGGAACGATCGTGTCGTGGATGCAAAATTCGTCTTGCTGTCGCAATCTTTCTTTCCTCCCTACCAATTTACTCATCCCTCCATTTGATTTATCTCAAAGAGACGAGGGAAAAAGAGAAGGATGTTGCTCTATCGGTTTATTCGCGAAATTTCCACCTGCAAAGTTTATATGTCACGAAATCTGAAAAATGTCACAGTTCGTGTCGCATATATAGATTTCTCGCAAATTGTCTTATAAAGGTCAAATTCATGATATCGATTCGGTTTTTATGGTTAACGGTGAAATTTATAACCGTGGTTCATCTATGGATAATCTTTGCTCTTGGAAAAGACGTGTAAACGAGATGCGGAAATAATTTACGCTTAATGGAAAAAAAGCGATCTGTGAGATTATGAATTTGCTTCGTAATTTCTTCGCGTCTAATTTATATAAATTATATATAAGATGTCCCCTAAAATTTTCGAATATTCTTTTGATAGCAAATTCTCTCGGAAAATTTGGAAGTGATTTTTTTTAGCGAAAATGTCATAGAAAGATTATCATTTTTTGCAACTTGCTAGTTTTTTAAATCATATAATTTTTGTAATTAATAGTAAGCCTCAAATTAAAAAATTCTATTAAAGTAAATTCCACTTGTAATTAACTAGAGTATGTAATTCTGTTAATCTTTTAACTTCACAAACTATATTGTTTGTGAAAACCCCTTCTTTTTTTTTTAATTTCTTGTAACTCGAAATTTATCAATGCCTCGACGTTTTCGCTAAAAAAAAAAAAAAATCATTTTTATTTGACTGATTTAATTAAGACTCGATTACAAAAGTGTCTAATAAATTTGAGTTATTAATTATTGAAATATTGTTTCTGCCGTACTGCGAGTACTATAACAAGATGAAAGTTTGCATATCGTATATTGTGAAAATTAATTAGGAAATTTCTATGAGACATGAATTCTTGAAACTGATGAAATCATTATCCAACAAATGAATAAAGGAAATTTGCATTCGCTTAACTGCTGCCCTAGATGTTTGCTCGTGCATCGCCCACAGTGCTTCCCGCAGAAGGGTTCAATAATAACAGGATCAATTCCGAGAACTATTTTGAATTGTTACTGCAACGTGCTATGACGATTACTATTATATAATAAAGAGTTTTAATTAATAGATATCGCGTAATATCGGTTTTGCGATAAGATAACGCATAATACCGGAAAACGATACGCATATTGGCATCTACGTTTCGGTTTTTACAAAAGAAATAGAAATTTTCTGCTTCGTGATTTATATCGACATATTTAAAAGCCTAACTTCAATAAAGGGATTATAAATATCGCGAAGAGAAAAGAACCTCGAGAATAGCTATTCGGAGAGACATCGTGACACCGTTATTTTATTATATAATAGTTCGAGTTATCGTAGGTTACGGTCAGGCTATAACTCTGTGCCGAAGCCAGACGTCGTAAGATATCGAGAATAATATCGCATCTTGTAGATCGGGAAGCCCGCCGATCGCACGCCGGCCTTCTTAAAATAACGATGAACGTTCGTTCTCGCGCGCGAGTAAAAAAAAAATTGTTTTCTACTCAGGTGGCGGCGCTTCTGAAACTAAAATATTCACTTCCGATTGGGAAGATCTGTCACATTTAAAAGAAGAAAGAAAATTTATAAAATGGAAACGCGGCGGGGAAACGATTTCTTCCTTAGACATCTTTGTAATAAGAATAAAAATAAATGGCAAAGGTATATATTCTTCGCTATACTTAGAGTATATAAACTTTTATACGAGCAGAAATTTAAGAATCTGCCCACGACTTTGCTGGAGATGTTAAAGTTAAAGAATTTTATGAAGCCACATGATGCTAGGATGATGGAAAAATGAAAATCCCATTTTCTCTCAGACAGTTTCTACTCTATTTTTAATAGAAGTTTAACATTAAATTTCTTAATCATTTATTGTTGTAAATTTCAAAGTTCTGAAGAATGATCGAGAGAGAGATCAAGTTTTCAAAGAAAAGTTTACCACAGAAACTATATCCGTTAAAATATTCAGATCGATTTTTCTTATTGCTCTTCCTAATCTGAATCCAAAAGAGCTAAAACTATAATTGATATACTTATTCGATTTCTATGATTATTACAAGAGTTTATAAGAGGAGGAAATTTTAGTCTCCACATATAAGTACTCTATCTTGTGACATTAATTCCTCGCATCAAGCCTCTTCCTCTCCCCCGCTATATCGCGACCCTGACCGCGTCTTAGACGGGAGATAGAGATAAATGGCGTACTCGTGGCCATCGGTCAGACGTATTCGTCGAAAAATAACCACTTGCAAACGCGACGTCTGGCAAAGTCACGTCGCAAGTGGTCATCGATAAACCGCCTACCCCGACAGCAACGATGACGCAAAACGGGATGATGTCGTTAAGCGATATGACGTCGATGAGGGAGAGAGAGAGAGAGAGACGTTCTCGATGTTTCGACATGCCCGACAGAGTTTTGGGCGTTGTTCAAGTCGATTTTTATTCCCACGCTAGTCTTCAATGTTACTACATCTATATAAGATTAAGAATCTATCGTCTTGAATTTTTCTAAAGAGATATAAAATATAAAGACATATTCCGTCCGTCCTATGAGAGTCGTTTTCTAACTTGCTTTGTTTATTACAGGATCTAGAAAAATTATATAAATTCCGTTCTTTATCGTATAGAGTATGATACCGTTTTAAGTTTCTATATTTGTTCGTCGCCCGCAGTCGGATCTTTAATAGTCGGTCAATCAGCTGCCAAGCTTTACCACTCGAAAGAAACTTTTGTATTACAGGTCAATGCCTTGTTCAGTACAAAATGAACAATGTCGGGATGCATCGCGTATCTTTTCCAATATCTCCATCCTTTATCGTGGTTTTAATAAAACAGTTAAAAGACATCTATCTCTCTTAAACATGTAATTTTTTTTTTAAACGAGGAGATAAAATAGATTTAATTTTAGAAGTTAACAAAAACACACGCGTTAAATTCATATAAATCTGTAGAAAAAGTTTGAGAAATGTAAACTGCGTAAAAATATATATAAGATATCAATTGAATTAAATATATTTTATTTATACAGTAATTTGTATTGAATATCATTCTCATCTCTGATCATTTCTTACCTCTTCTGTTTTAGCCGCGACGGTTGTCGGTGTTTCTATAAGGCTAGAGAAACTGGTCCGGCTGCCGTGTCTGCTGCTCCTACTCAGACAACCGACATCGGTGACTTCTCCAGCGGCGATTCTAGCGATCCTATCATTCTCTATGCACTGCGACAGAGGTATGCCGAACACCAGACCACCAGCTACGTCTGCGAGCAAAAGAGAAGATGAATTTTTTCAGAGGTTTGTACATATGCAACTTTTTCAAAAATTCCATTCCAATGATCATATACAAAACCAACGTTCTATTAAAAAATATAATACGTAATATTTTAAAGATATTGACGATTATAATATAACACGCATTATCTTAAATTTGTGTTATAAACGTGTGTTTGGATATTATTCGGTATTTCATTTTTTATATAAATTTAATATGCACTTTTATCGGAGTTTGAATATAAACATAAAAATGTTTTTTTTCTTCGAGATAATATCGAAATAATAGTATTTTTTTAAATACTACAGCACTCTCTCTCTGACTAAAGATTTTAGTAATATTTGTAATATAAATATGATTAAAATTTGCATCTTTTTTGTAATGTTGACTATGTATAAATATAATATATATATTATATTTATATATTTGATACACATAAGATATCTAATTAATGTTACTAAATTGGCTTATTATTGGTTTATTACAGTATACAGTTTATTAGCTGTATACTGTACGTACAATTTCGTCAGTAAATCTTTCTTTTCCGAGCAATTCATAATCTCCTTGATCGTTTGGCTAGCAAACGAGCATCGTGAAATCAACATCGATCTGATCTACGAGCCGTCAGCTGTGTTTTGTGGACACGACGAATTTGCATGTGTCCGTGCGTATTTCGTGTATAAATAAGCTGGAGCACCGATGCGATAACGTCGCACCGTCCGCTAATTAGGCTCATTAATGTAAACGATATTCGTCAAATAATTTCATAACGATTTGCCGTGCCACGGTATAATACATCGATTAATTAACGCGTTTCTGTAACTCGAATTGTTTAATGAAATGGCGAAAAAAATTAAGATTAATTATAACAGAAAGTATCTTCAAACAAGATTAAGCAAGAGTAACTTTTCATTATACTATTATATTCTCTGCAAGAGTAATTTTTCATTATACTAACAAAACAAAACTCTAAGACAGTGTTTAAGATAACATATAATTAATATAAAATAAATTTTAATTTCACCATTTCAACCACATAAAAGGATCCTGTTTCGTTGAAAATTACGTTTAATCTTAATCTTACGTTTTATCGTATTTTCTTAACAATTTCAAATAAGTTTTTAACGCAATTACGAACAACAAATGCGATAATATTACAACTATGTAATTATCCAGACTTTCTGCATCAATAGCGCTAATTCGACGCGGCTTGAGATATTTTAGCGACTTGATTCTCGACACCCGAGAAGGCAGATCTTCTGTAGAAATGACGTATTTAACGTGACACTAATTAACATCAACGTCTCATCCACCGGGTATTGCGCATCTTTTCAGATCGCGGCCAAAAACGTATTCCGTAAAGTTGCAATCCCTAAGACAGACGCGAGCTTCTTTTAGTCTGCCCACGTCCGCCACGCGATATGAAAGCCAGGTAATTCGAAGCACATTTGCCGCTACGTCGGCGCCGTCTTCGATTATAACGTCAAAAGCCGGAGGGAGAATTACACGCACGATTCCTTCAATTCACGTTCACATAAAGGACTTTTTATCGACGAAACTATACTTTCTTTCGATAAAGCACGCTTACCGCCATCGACTCGATACGTTATACGTGAAGTGCTTGTCGATAACGATTGTATCTTTCCAAGGCTTTGAATCATTTTGACAGCTGCACAGACTTCTATATATGTCTGTGGACAGCTGCCTGTAATCATTCCACGTGATATCTCAAATCTCCAATCGAATCTTGTATGGTGCGGATTCAAGTTTTTTTTTTTTAAATAATGCTGGCCACGGTTTTTTATTTTTGCATTTTATTATGATACTAAATTTTTTTCTCGCGGGTAATGGCTTCGCGGAAACCACTTTTCGTTTCTCTCGTTCAAGTTATGCGTGCGAAAAATTTACAAAATGTCTTTTTCGGCAATGCAATTTGTCGTAAAGGAAAAATATTACGTAAAGACGTGGTCTGTGATGATAGATGGAAGGCGCTAAAATTTCGACCATTTCTCCAAGAGCCAGCTGAAAACCGAAAAACAACAAACCGTGTCCCTATATCGGTCCGATTATAGACCACGCACGATCTGGGCCATCCCGGCCATTTCTTTCTCTCTCTCTCTCCTTCTCTTCGAAACGTACCTTCTCGAAACGAGCGTGAAACGCAAGCCACTTTACGCACTACAATGTGCGAAGAGAACGAGCCTCTTCTTGGAAACGTCGAGAAACGATCGGCATCGATCGTCAAACACTTTGCCACCCCCGTATGTCGGTCCGGTACGATGTCGGATACGTATTTAGACGCGCGGAGTGCGAGCGTACGGACATTGCGTGTATAAATATCCCCGGTGTATCTTGTTGCACGCACACGTTTAAGTAATTGACATTTCCTGATAGGTATATTTATACGTGGATGCAACTTTGTTTGGGCCTGTATATTTTGATCGCTAACGTACTTTGAAAATGAAATTTATAGCATCAGAGTCACGTGTTATTCTATATTTAAGAAGGCCTGATTTGACAATAACGTTGTGTTTAATGCCTCTTCTGAGAATTGTTACTTGACACGATCGTCGAATAATTTGTTCGTCGATCTGTCGAGATCTAAAAGCTTTTAACGCGTAATACATTAATACATCTTTCTCTTTATATATATAACTAAAAATATTAAAAATGAAATTTTATATTCAAAATTATATTTAAAATGGGATAAGAATGCATTTTTCATTTCATTTTATGCCATAAATGGAATATTTCTTATCATCGTAGTTTTTTTTTCTTAATTTTCTTTGTCTTATATTCATTTCTTTTTTCATGTTAACTATATTAGTTTTTTGATAGAAAAAATAATTGTTTTCTCTGTATGTGTGTGTGTGTGTGTGTGTTTGTGTGCACTAATATCTTAATTGTGTTTTTATCAAGAAATGTTTACACCATGGGGCAAATACATATCAGTTTCATTCTTACATACAAAGCGATACAAGTTTGGAATGCAATTCATATCGCCGCACCTGAGGGGAAACATTAAAGCGGTGCATTAAAGGGAGTGAGCGACCTCGCGGGAAGATTCCCGATTGACGCATGGTGTCCCTACGCATAGGCGTATTCAGCGTGCACGCAGACCGCAAATAAACCTGATATATGCGGAAATATGTACCGCCACCGAGCACCCCGTGGCTAATTTTAACCGGCGAAATTGTGTCTCATACCAGCCTGGCCGACCGATGTTGCTCCGCACCCGCCTCTCGCACACGGGTAAATAGATGCATCTTTCACAGCAAAATTTTATCTCACTATCAGTTACTTTGAGAGAGAGAAAGAGAGAGAGAGAGAGAGAGAAATAAATTTTTAATAATACCATAACAGTGAAACTGTATAAATAAATCATTTTTAAATCGATTTGTATCGCGACTCGTTTGAAATTAAGTAGTTATTTATAGCTTTCTATATATATATATATATATGTATATATATATATATTTATTTATTATTTTATTAGAATGCGAAACCAAAAACGATGATTTACTTGGTTTATATACCCGAACGGAGCTTTGTGAATTTTCTCGAGGGTACTATAAGTTGTATTGAGTACTATTGTACATTTGCATTTGCAATGATACGCTTTTAGTTTGTAATGTATCCGGAGAGAGATACACGTCATGAAATTTTACATGGAAAACCCTATTTCCGATATGCACCTATCTCAGTCGATTTGCCACCCATATCGGATTCTTATTTGAAATGTCACGGACGATATGAGAGTGCAGTACAAACAATGCCGCGAGGATAATCGCCTACATAATTAGAAATCTTCGAAATGAGAATGCGATGAACAGAGTGCATTTTCGGTTAACGTTCGTCGCGGAAAATTGCAGTTTGCTCGCGTAGCGATTCCACCGATATGAGAATGCTCGACAAGAAACAATTATCCTGGTACGAGTCACAAACGCGTTTCATCTGCATTTCTGCACGGAAATTGCAGTAACCGGGAATAGTATCTGCATTCTGTCCTGTAGAGATATCCTTCTTACGGAAAATTTTCATACTTTCACAAATATTATTTTCTCGATATAATATAATGAGGCCGGGAGTTAATTACTTTTCATTTTTTCGCGTCATTTTTACTTATTTTTATTATTTATATCATAATTTTAATTAAAATAAACTTGTGTTTATTTGGCTAAAATTAGCGTTTAGTGCGAATATCTTTTTGATATAAGTGATTCACTTGACTCAAACTTCTTGTGACCAAGCATGGAATTTGAAACGGCGAGACTAAAGAGAGACATGTGGATCGGTTAAAATAGATTGGAAATTTGTCCCAAGAACAATATTTATCTTCGTTGCGATAGATTAATATCGCATACAAATACGTACATATACGCGTAAGAATGTCGTAAACGTATCAAGTGATAGAGCACTCCCCCGAAGAACTTCGGCGAGTGACTATTGCGTCTGTCTGAAAATAACTGAACCAGTTATTCTCCAAACAAATAATTGCGTCATAAATTATACGATCGTTAAATACGCGGCTTTCTACACATTCAAATGCGCACTTCGTACTTAATTATCGGCACGATCAAACAAATTTCCACGCGCGATTCGTTGCTTTTGCACCACAACTTCGATGAATTTAATATTTCATATTTCTATATCGGAAATCGAAGATCATAAAAGAATATGTATCGCTGAGATATCAAGAATATAAATTCAATTCAGATTCTCCGAAAAAAAATAAGATGACATTTTATATGAGAAGAGGAAAAAGTCATTGTACATCGATTTATTTAATTGGAGATCTTTACAGTTCGTTGAATCCGAAGTTATCTATTTTTGCAAGAGAAAGAAAAAAAACATTTCAATTTTATAGACGCTTTGTTATTACAAGTTTCATTTGTTGCATAGCTTTTAGTGACTAAAAGAATTTCATCGACATAATTAGAGAAGCTCGTTGACCGGACATAACATTTCGTTGAACCTTCGCGTTTTTCTCTCGCGTGACCTAACGACCGCAATTCCTTGTTATATCATCCTGCAAGTAAAGCGTATCGATATCGAGAATGGGGCACATTTTATTTATTCGCGAAAAGATTTTAATTGAAGAAGAATAGAAAGCGGCCGGCGGTATAAATAGACATCATCGTTTATTCTCGAGATTACGGTTGTTTCTCTTCGTAGCGAAAGTACGCTGGCAATATAGCCGGCGGCGACGCGATTAACCGGTATTGCGCTTTGTGCTCACCCTTTTCCTTCTCGTCCTTCCCTTTATTGTCGAAGAAGCCCGTTGTTAGAGCCTTCCTCTTCAGCAAGTACGCCCGTCTCTTTGGCTTCGTGGTCACCGACCCGCTGCTGAATGTTTCTGAAAGGAAACGAAGAGAACGACCTGACAAATGTTTTCCGAGACCCGCTTAATGTAATACATTATGCAATCCACTTGTAAAATCAGAACAGTATCTACTTCTGTCATGCCGGAATAATTCCTATATATAAGGCGTTTATTTTAAAATAAATCCGTGTATCCGTGTACAATTTCATCAATTTTTTTTTTCTAGTGAAAGGGAAAGTGATAAAAGGAGATTTTAAAATAAGATGATTAAACGAGAGAGAGAGATATGAGATATTTCTACATTTTTATGTTCTCGTATGTGACGGGAATAATGTAACGTTCGTTAGTAAAATATAATTCACATAGGATCTCTTGCAAAAGTTCGTTCTGGCTGACAGCGCGTACACTTTCATATTGTGATTAATTACGTTTCTGGTTTATTCTGACTATAAATCCGACACTGCCCAAGTACATTTTACACGACTTTCCTCTTCATTGCGCCTTTGTGTGCCTCGGAATGACGGACGCGCGTTTTAAAATTTAATTTTTTTTTTTTAAGATCATATGCGCTTGGGCTTGATAATAATTTACTCTTTCGATTTCAATAATTCGCATATAGAAAAGCTATTTTTGCCATAACATGGGTGGAAAATATACTTTTCAAATAAAAAAATTTAAAGTTTGAAGATTTTCTTAAATTTAATTTCTTTTTTCTTTACAAATAATGGACCTGCATAAATTATATTTATCATATGTGTGTATATATATGTATAATTTATTATTATATTATTGTATCCTTTATAAAGAATTTCCGCGGCTAACAAATAATATTAAACTTCGAATTTGAAAAGTGAAGATATTGCAAGGTTCCAATATCGATCAATATGATTTAATGCATTTTGCACTTTCTATTAGGAGAATGTACGCTATTTCTATTATAGTGTAATTATTTATAGTTATTCTATTGTAGTATGTGCAATATCACTTTAATGATCGGAATTTTCGGCATTCAGACGAAAGAAGAGAGACATCGCAAAATTCGAGTGGATGAAGGCGAGCTAACACTTGTGGTCATAAACACGTCAATCATCTAGAGTTGAAACGAGACAGCCAAACGGCGCCACGTCTATCGCGATAAATGCTGAAGTAATCTCTTAGATATACAATGAGATTCCGAGAGATTCTCTCTCTCTCCCCTATTATTATTCCTCGTAAGTACGAAAGCAGTCGGTCGGTCGATCGAAAATCAAGTTTTTCGAAGAAGCGACAAAGATGCCTCATTTCTTCGTATTCAGCATTGAATAACTTATGTAAATGCAGCACAAAATCAAGCTATGCTATTGAAAAACGACAAATGAATCAACATTTTCTGAAAATAATTATTTTCAGAAAACATTTTAACTTACGATCAATAAAGAAATTCGTTTAATCTATATCAATAATCCTCAGATTTTCGCAGGGAAAATATTTATCTTTCGTATAAAAATATAAAAATATACTGAAGAGATCTTTATAACGCTGATAAAACGCGGGAATTTGCTAAAAGAACCGACCCTATAACGGATAATTCACATAACGTACGGGGGCGTTGACGAGAAAGCACATGAGGATTCGATTTTGTACGGCGTACAAAAGCATCCAAGAAATTCATGACTTTCATCGGTGTTTGTTAAATAAAAGCCGGCGGGGGCCGTGCGCTTAAATACTCGTTGGAATTTCTCGTTGGGCGCAGTTTCCTCTCTTTTCTTCGCTCCTTCGGAACATACTCCACAGACTAATGTAGCGTGGCACGCAGACGGTTGTAATGGTATTACACGTGCCCGGAGGAATTTCTTTCAAAATCCGCGAGCGAAACGCGGATGTGGAGCGTGAGCGTATTAAGAAGAGGAGAGACCGCGATGATGTATTACTTGATAATAATTATAGACGGAAAAAAAATATAAAACGATACAGATATACGACGGATGGATCATTCTTTCCCTCTCTTTCTCGGGGAAAAAAAAAAACTTTAACAATACGTCAAAATTCTTGTTTTCATTTCTTTCCTTTTTTTTTTCTTTTTTTCTTTTTTTTTTTTTTTAAACGACTCACCACTCGGCGGCCTGATGTGCACACCCAGATTGAGAGCTTGGAGCTTCGCTACGGCCACGTTGCAGAGGACCTTCTTCTCGATATCGGACAGCGTTCGCAGCGATGTATCCTGCAGGGTTACGCGCCGATTCGTCGTGCCTGCCCAGGTGCATTTTCCCTGTGACAGAAAAGAGATCGGGTAGACGGTAGGCGTCTCTCGATTATATCCTTCCGTCAACTTGAAAACTGCCGCGAATTCTTGCCTGACAGCAATCTCGAACGAATTTTCAGCACGTGTAACCGTGACGCGAGAAACGCCGTGAGGCGTATGCGAATCGATGAATATTAGAGATCTCGCAGAGAGCGGGGGATTTCCGAACGCGAAATTTAATTCCGTGATCTCGACGCGCTCCTCGTTATCATGCAACGATTCATTCAAATTAATCCTATCATGTAAATTCGCGGAATTAAAATTTATGGATTCATCGCCGAGATAAATCACACAGCTCCCGGTATTTGCACCGGAGTTTCCCTTACCGCGAATTGATCAATTTCGATTTTGACAGCGGATCGACAACTTCGGCGGATATAACATCAACTTTATTCATTAATATTTACACGTTCGCAGACACGTGCCATAAAAATTTCATGATAATTCAACGATAGTTCCGAGTAACGTGCATTCGACAAGTAAACGGGACGAAGTATAATATCGAGGAAATAACGCGAGATATAACGCGACGAGATACACTATGGCAGACCATAACTCATACACTTTCCTTCCGCCTCGTACAGAGAGGATCAAGTTAATCTTGCAAGAGACGTAATTGTGCAAATGTTTGCTCGTATTCGCGAATGGAGCGTGTAGTAAGATCGAACCGAGCTTAAATTGCACACATTGAAAATTTAACGAGTGGATTATATTTGTTTTTGATTATATAATGATAATAATAATAATAATATCACAATTAATAATATCTCTTGTATTCTGAGGCAAAAATCAAGAGAGAATATAATATAGTTTTATTCATCGATCATGTTGTCATACATAGTTATTCTTTTTAATGGGTTACTATAAATCATCTTTATATTTTTTACGATATTTTGTTAAAATTTTTGAAAAAGATATATTGCTAAAAATATATTGCTGTCAAACTCGTTTCAACAATCGTTAAAAATTGCAAGAAATAAACCTGCTACTTCTGTCGTTCAACTGCACGTGCGAAAGGCGTCAAGTTATATCGCGTCCAGTCAAAAAAGCAATCAAAAAAATTGTCAAAAATTTTAACGCAAAAAGCATGTGTCGGGGCAACAGCATGTATGCCCAACGTTATAGGTTTTTATGCAAAAGATGATGGAAGCGAGAACGTGCGATATCATTCTTCCTGCCTCTTCAACCTACAAGTAAATACATTCTCGTACGTTTTTCCGCAAATGTGTTGCACGCTCTTGTAATATTTTACGACGTCGAAGAGAACCGCAGAGGAAAGACACGAGTAATGATCATTGTTATTCACCGACGAAATTTGTCAGTGCATCTTCTTTTCAAGATCTCATGTCCCATGCATTAGAAAATACAATTCAAGAAGAAATATGTGACAATGAGACAAGCTTGAATAAGTGGCGCATTTTAATGATTAATTGTTTTATTGAGAATCTATCCTTTTTGTAGCATATCGAAGCGATGAGTAAGCATAGTTTTAAATCGAAAATGTTATATCGATAAAATGTGATTTTAGAAAGGATGATTTTGTTCCCCATAATACTTTCGTAATTGATTTCTCTGTAAAATTGCACTTTAAAATACGCATTAAAACGAGATGAAGTAACGAGCGATTTAATTAAGACGAATTAATGAAGAAATATTGATCTATCGTTAAATAAACACGAGTACACAAGAAAATGTAGCGAAATTGAAACAAGTTACATATAGTATCCGCGTATAGTGTCAGCAGTTTGTTTATTGCATCAAGTAATTGATATCATTACATATTGTATAATCTCGTTGCAATGTAACAAATAAAAATATGATACGGAGACACGGAGCAAGATGATATGATACAGAGCAAGATATAATGATGGGAGACAGATAATGATGCGCTTACATGTTTTATCGGCATCAAAATGCATCTTCCATATGTTTGGCTACTTTTTGTTTCGCTGACATCACAATCAAATGGAAATAACTGCAACGTACTTTATCGCGATTAGCGATACAAACACTAAGAAACAGCCGTGTGTGATACGTGTAGGTGGACAAATTGAACTTTTATCTTGTATGAAAATACGTGAGTTTTACCATTTCCCCGTATAATAATGATTTAGATTTTTTGCTTTACATAAATATTAGAGGAAAATTAAAACGTTTTTTTCATTATGTAAAACTCTCGATTTATGTAGCATCTCACTCGCGTCATTTAAATTTTCCTTAAAATTTTAATTAGACATAAATATTAGAGGAAAATTAAAACGTTTTTTTCATTATGTATAAAACTCTCGATTTATGTAGCATCTCACTCGCGTCATTTAAATTTTCCTTAAAATTTTAATTATCATTATTTTATCGTAACTTCACATTATTGTAATTATTATTTTTTATTATTTCAAAGTATTTGCTTATTTTTCTGCGGCCTTTGATGCAAGGATGAAAATTAACAGGGTAATGCAAAAAGGGAAAGGACTGAAAAAGTTCGTGACTCGCTTGTTAATCGCCGGGAGTAAATTATTGCTCTTTGCTTGTTGTTATATATTATATATTCTGAAGGCTTGCGACGAAGGCCTTGCATGGGAAGGGACGCATGGGGATTGACGGAATAGAAGCGTCCTCGGAACGCGAGGGAAGCACTAACAAAACATGCTATACAAGATAAAGAGAGTATGTACATGAGCTTCGCATCACATGCAAATGCGGATGATCATGCGGAAACTAATTTTGGAAAGTGTCGATTTAGTTAGTTTCCGTCCATCGTCCCTTGATCGAGCTATTCTTCCTTCTCACTGTTTCCTTGTTCAATTGTGAAAAACAGTGGAGATTATCCATTACAAACTTTGTCATAAAGAAGAAGAATTTAATTTCATTAATGAAATTATTGCGTATTAGAGGAAATAACAAACAGGATGTTACGTTAATAAGCGCATCTCGAGTAAGTAATATTATTATTTGCTTACAGGGAAAGTGATTTATTTAATGGAAAAACATGTTTACATATATAGTTTTCGAGTTATAATTGATCGAAAAGAAAAGAAAAGAAATTGTGTTTCAACATGCAAACAAATAATACAAAAAGGATGTTACGTTAATAAGCGCATCTCGAGTAAGTAATATTATTATTTGCTTACAGGGGGAAAGTGATTTATTCAATGGAAAAACATGTTTACATATATAGTTTTCGAGTTATAATTGATCGAAAAGAAAAGAAAAGAAATTGTGTTTCAACATGCAAACAAATAATAAAACTCAATTTTTCAGCTTTATTTTGATAGAATTTTGACATCACACCAGACGTAGTTTTATCAAAATATTTAATTTTAAAGCTTGGACAAGAATATTTTCAATTAAACTTTGGTGCAGATGTAATTTCAGTTTTCAACAAGGAATAATGTCCTATTTTCTTTTTAAACATGCGTCCATTATCAAACATTATTATAAAACGTAAATCATTTTTCTTTTATTGTATTCGGAAATATTTAATTATTAATTACGTCCAATCAAATATTTTCTTTTTAAGGAAAAAATTAATTCTCTAATTATAAATTAGTTATATATCGATACTGAAAGGCAGAAATTGACTAATATAATTAATTTTTTATGCCGGGAGAAAAAAAGAGTTTTCTTTTTCCTTTACCATCTCGCGACGGATTATTCGTCGAAATAACGGAGAAACACCACGTGAGAATAGCATGGATACAACGACGGCGGTGGTAGTAGACTTTGGTTTTAGTGTGTCGATATATATCCAAGTAGTAGTGTAGTGGCAGGGAAGAAAGGGGAGGGGAGGGGTTAAGTATAGTTTATACACACCGCCGCGTTGGCTGACTATTTCTGGCGGCGCCAGCGAAATTCCGAGGCCCTAAATTGGTTATCGCGCTTACCGCTTAACGAGAACGTCTGCCGCAAGGTCGACCCCCTTTTTCTTCTTTCGCGTTTTCCCTTTTCGCATCCTTCGCGTGCTTAGACATCGAGGATAAGGAGGTGTTAAAGAAGAAAGGGAGAAACGTGAGTAGATCAGCAATGAGTGCAATTATCGAGTACCGGTGAAAATTCTGTGAATGAAAGTATTTTGCAAACTGTCTCTCCCTTAATTTTGAAGAAATTAGAAAATAATTAAAATCAAATATACAATTTGAAAAAATTTTTCTCTGTCAGAGAATATTAACGAAAAATGAATAAAAATAAGTTCTCTCTCGTGACAAGTTTCAAAGATGTAAATGCGTCATTTTTTTTTTTTTTTTCAATTGAATTTGACATAAAATTTACTCTAGAAAAGAAAAAGAATATAATTTTAGATATTTTAAAAATTATTGTCACAAATGTGAAAGTGCATATCAGAAAAATCATTCTCAAATTTATTTGAAAAAATTACAAAATAATGATATAATTCGAAATCAAATTCATGCCGCAACGAAACATTCAGTATTTTCTCAATTCCGTCAAATAACTTTTCATCTATGATAATTAAATATATATGAACATTTAAATTATGAATGGTGAAAGGGGACACACTACTTTGGAAACTCAGTATAAGAGCAAACGCGGAACAGAATATAAATATCTCCATCAAGAATTTTCTTTCACATTAAAAATTCTTGGATGAATAAATGGCATGAATAATTTAAGTGGATTACTTCAAAACTTATTTTCACAAAACAGAAGATTATGATACTCGTATCGCGAACAAACAAAGAAAAAGAAATAGAGATGCGTGCTTGTACGATATTTTTTATCATATTTATAAAGAATATTTAACATGTTTTGTAATATCTCTAAATAACTTGTTATTCCGGAATTAATTTGCAAGAATAACTTTGTCCAAAAATAGCGCAATCGCCAATTGCCAGTTTCGCCAAACACCCTTTATAATTCAGAATCTCTCTGCTCTTTCAGAGGATATTCCTGCCTCGCGTAACATGGAGATCAGCGCCAGAAGCTGCCATTACGAAAATGCGGGTCTATGCCAAATTTATGATATCTACTGTTCCTTTTTATTGAGCTTTTTGCTAATTTCGCGGAGACGCCAAAGAATGCGTGAGATATAGCTCGTTGGAAAATCCGCGACATGCATTTAATATAACTTCCAGAAGACGCATTTCATTTCTGTGCTCTCAGCTGTCTCACCCTATCACAAACAGCGGAGGAAATTCTCCTCACAAATGTACTACTAATCAGCAAAATCAAAAGTATTATTCAAAATAATTAGAGAAGATGATGTATTATTATTAATACAGATTATCTGATTTATAATAATTTTGATTTATGATCATTTTTTTTCAGATGATTTAAAGTATAAAATTTTTATAATTTTATTAACAAAATATAATCAGTTATTGCAACTCAAATTACTATCGAAAGCTTTGAATATCTTACTTAAATTTTAAATGTGAAAAATGTAAAAATTTCACTTCTTTTTTTTTTTTTAATTTTTTTTTTTTAATTTTAATTTCTTTAATACCGCAATTTATTTGTTAGTTCTTTCATCGAGCGTTGCACAAGTGGAAAAAGACTCACCTGAGGCGTCCACACGGATGGCTGATGCAACGCTCTCGACGTGCTCTTGCTCCTAGATCGCCAGATCTTCTTCGCCACCAGCCGGCTGCCGTGATGCACGACGCTGCTCGAGGACTTGCTCTTCTGCATCGCGGTGCCACCTGCGGAATTGGCGGACGATGACGTAAGTGCCGGCGAACCCGGTGCCGAGTGCGGCTTATCCTTATGCGCGTTGGAACCGTGCAGGAGATGGGACAGGAAGGATTGATGATGATGAGGATGTTTAACGGGGGTGTTGGTCTCCTCGGAGCCGAGGCCGGCGTCGATGCTGCTCCTGGAGCTGGCGTTTCTGCTCGCCGGCGGTGACGTCGTCGTGTCGGCATCCGATAAATTCTCGGACGGGATCTCGCCAGGACCGTAGGAGGACATCTCGCGATAATGTGTCGCCCAATTGTCCTCCGTCTGACAACCCTTGCTGTTTCCGTCGTCGTCGCCGGGCTTGGTAATCTCGCCCTTGGCCTTGATGTTGCGCAAATTCCGATCGTAGTTTACCCGCTTGAATCGATCGGCCTTGTCAGCATCCATGGACTTTTTTCGCGCCATCCGCAAGTATCTCTTAATAGTATCGCTCACGGATGGCGACACGTCGTCATTGTCGACGCTGCTGCGTCTCCGTCCGCTTGACTTGTGCGACGTCGTCTCCTTCTGCGAAAAGGACTCATCCTTTTCTCTTTCTAGTAGATACGCATCGAGGACGTCTCGGGAAACCGGATCGGTTTGCACGCCATCGTTAAGAAAGCACCGATCGGTGCTGGGTTCCTGGACGGCAATCAGAGGTGGCGGTGAGATTGGGTGATCATCTCGCCTCGTGGATGACCAAACGTTGGACTTATTGGTGGATGGTCTACTTCTCTCGTGGCCCCACCATCGAGTGGACGGCGAGGTGTACGCACCGGTTGCTCGAGGTCCCCTGAAACCTCGAGTGCACCTCAGGTCAAAGTAAAGCTTCTCAAGGAGCTTCCGATCCGTCAAGATATCGGAAATAACATGCTCCCGAGAAGACGATTTACTATAATAACGACTCAATGTTTCCATCAACGATTTATGAACGTAGTCGCTTTGATAGGACAACATAGTCTCGGGAATCACGTTTGTCACGCTGGAAGAACTCTGGCGAGAAGCTTCATCGCGTTTAGCCTGAGCCACGATCATATTCAGATGTTGCTGCAACTTGTCTATCAAACTACGATAATCGAAGTGCTCTTTCGTTTCCATCTGTTGCATTGTCCCCTGCGACTTGGCGGCCGCCCTTGTCGGATTAGCTGCGTCACCCTGCATGTTCAGGTACTTTTGTAGCATATCGGCCAGCTCTTTGGCCTCGGCATCCTCCTGAGACGTCTTACGACGCATCACCGGACTCGACGGTGTGCTTTCGCTGCCGTTGCCTGACGTCAGCAGCCACTCTCTTTTCACCTTGGCAAGATCAAACTTGCTAGACGTGGTCGCGTGAGGGACGAAGCTCTGCGGCGAACTCCTGACGTCGTCGGCCTCATCGGCCGAGCTGGCTTGGGTTCGACAGCTGCCGCCTTTGATTTGTCTGCGACGTCGCTGGGCGCGGAAGCCCAGAGTGCCCGGATATGAAGCTTTTCTCCAGAGTAGGAACCGCGGCTCCTTTTGGCAAACCTCCTGAAAGTACTGCTCGATCTTTGGTATATCCTCCGGACGGTTGTGAGTACCATCCGGGATGAGACGCCGGCCGGCATCCGCCATGTATCGCCACGTCTTCCTGGTGAGTAGCCATCTCTCCTTGACGGGCTTGCCGAAACGTTTGGTCCTGCGATCCTTGGACGTAGGCGGTGTATCGCGTATCGTGTTTGTGGTGTCCGTACTGTCGCGACGCGAGCGTCTCCTGCCCCCGCCGGGACGCTCCGCCATCGTCGCGTCCTTGTCTCGCCTTGCCACGCGAACCACCTTCGTAAAATTGCGTCAGACCGGTGTCGTGCACGACAAAGACAACTTGCGGACGATCGTCCTTCACCGCGTGGAATTCACTCTACCATACCAGGTGACGTATTTGTTTTCTTACTCGCGATGACCTATCACTTCGCTTTTGAAGAATACATTCGTGAAACGAATATGTTTCGAATGAACACCAAGGTACACCAACAAAAATACACCAACTGCACTTTGACACTTCGCCACTCGCTGAAGAAAATACCGTGGATCAATGCCTTATTCCCTATTATACAACGTATCGCCCAAATGGCAACTTTTAGAGTCGACTTTTAGATGGCTGGCTCAAGAGTTTTAACAAATCGACCTTTTCTCTAAATAGAGCCTAAGAAGGCTCTTCGGGAGGACAAGAATCATTGTGTCTTGTTCGTTCTCCAGGAGATTTTACGAAAAACAATGCCGGCAGAGTACAACGACGACGACGACGAAAACGACGTCCGGACGTCAAGATCGCACGCGTTACAAGAACTCGCGCGAGAGCCGGCAAGGTGGAAGCTGCCTAAGGTACGCGACTACTGCTCCTCAGGGCGTCGCGACGCTCGTGGACGCTCCGTGTCTAAAAGCGTCTTCGCCCCTTCTCTCCACTTCCTCCTTCCCGCTCGCGTGCGGAAACGCGAGCGAGCAAGCCGCGAATATAAGAGAGAAGGAGATGACGGCAACGACGACGATGGATCAGACTGAGGAAGAGGTATAGAAGTTGCTGCGGTCTGGGATACCTGGGTCCGCCGCAGACTAACCGGAGGTGTAGCGTCGACGACGTCGGTGTCGTCACGCTTTGCCAAATACCAACGCTTTCTGGCGACCGTTTTCTGGCGTTCCCCGATGAAACGGTGTCGGCGAGTTTTGACGAGGTCGTGACGACATATCGTTCCTCGCAACATGGCATGAGAATGACGATATCGCCTCGAATCGCGGAATGCCAAAGCAAAATAATTATCATTGTCACGAATCTTGCGAGGAAAAGAAGCAAAGGAAAATTTTTTGCAAAAATTTGGCTTGTCAGAAGGTGACTTCAAATTAAAATTTTAGATGCGTGATAATCTACGTTAAAAGATGATTAGGAGATTGTTTCTTCGAGTGATTTTGTAGATTTCATAAAATACTAGCAAATTAAAGATGTTAAAATATTACGTTTACATAATCATATTTACTAATTATTTTTTAAATTTGAACATTGACAGAAATTTTCAAATTAAATATTTATTAAAAATGAGATAATCGATCTTCTAATTATTTTCAGCAATAATCACTTTATATTAACATTATTGGAATGCATGTAAAATTCAAGATTTGAACGTGATTCATAAAATAAAACGTTTCATTACATAAGGGTGATAATGCACAAGGGCATAGATAAGGGATACTTATATCTTTTTTTATAATTTTCTTCTAGAATTCAACATAATGGACGGCCATAAAGCCGCAATCTTAATTTTACTGCTCTAATAATGCAATAATGTACCGATTGTGAGAAACGGCTTTAAGTCTTCAATAATATCATGACATTTTGTAACAAAAGTAGAACATAAAAATAGATTCTACTGTTACACATCATGTTGAAATCTTTGACATTAGATGTTCTAAATTTTCTATAATGCTAAAAGAGAATGACAAATCTGCTACTTTGTTATTATTAATCATCGAAAAACTCTTAATATGCAAATTATTTGTAGGTCTCTATGAGATTTTTATTGCAAATTTCTCTCTTTTTTCCTCAAATTAACTAAAGCATAAATGGCAAACTCAGGAGATTAGCAAAAGCCAATATCTCTTTTTTGCTGGTTGCCGCGGCAACGACGTCTTTGATTCTCTATAGTTAGTGTGTGCGGAGACCACCCACTAATCGAGAGACGTGTTAAACGCGAACTTTGTTAATATTTACAAACGTAGGATTAGAATTAAACTCCTATATATTACAGAGCACCACATGGTCGGGGCAACTGCCGGGAAATAAGATTCGTAACAAGACAATAAAAACTAAATAAAGATTCCCGTGCCGTAAGATACGGTAAGATATTACATTTACTCAACACACGAGGGAAACAATATGAAAAAAGAATTAAACAAGTTTCGAAACAATGATCAAACGGTATTTATCGATCAATCTCAAAGGAAAGTTTTGCTTTTTAATAGAATTGTGATTCGCGTTTAATCATTCTAAGATGTGACATATTGAAGTTTGTGAATAATAATGATCGTTCTCTAAATTTTTATTAAGAAATAATTTTATTTTTATATATCGACGCTGCATGTATCTGTTCTCTGCTGTTATTGGAACATATATATATATAACAGCAACATTCTAATGATCGATAAATTCGATTTTGTATTAATTAATTATTAATATAATTATTGAGATGGCACGAGTCTCGATTCGAATCCTTTAATAAATCTCATGATGCAATACATCAAATGCACTTATACACAGACTTTATATTAATTGGATTATCGCGATATAGCGGAAGATTGCGTATCGAATGGATTAGTTCTTGTTTCAAACAAAATCGTTATCGTTTGCTTATGTGTGCGAACGCGAGCGTGAAGCAAGTAACGTTATAATCTGCGGGATCATTCTGCTAAAGCCCATCAAGCTTGCCTAATGAGAAAGTTACATCACAGCTTGAAACAAACGTACGGAATTACCTAACATCTCACACGCGCGGCGAAATCCTTTTTTACACCCTGTGCGTGATGACGTAGGACAATAAAGCTCGCGATAGGGTATCGCCCGGAGGATATATTTTTCGCCAGCGACTATTTCGGGGCTCATTCTACGGGTCGGACCACACCACACCACACGTGTTGTGCCGATATGGTACAACCGTAAATCAAAAGTAAGTTAATCGAGACCTGCTGGAGACCATTGGACTCTCAATTTCTTCTCGTTCGGAAATTCGAATTTTGATTTATCGCATAGATATACTTCTACCACGCAGCTGCAAGTGATGTAAGAAATTATAAATGTAAATGTCATCGTGCGCAAAATATGATAACATTTTCTTTTGACTGACTGACTTGAGGAAAGCGCCATAGGTATACTTGTTTAGAAGGGAAATCGCTGTTTACTTTTATCTCCTCTAAAATGTATTTCGCATTTCGTTTGTTTACCGTTGTTTGTGCGGAATTTTTGCAGTTAACGGCCAGAAAGAATTTGTGCAAGCAGACGAATTTCTTTTTTTTTTAGATTGCACAAATCTCCAGAGTTGTATGTAGTTATATAATAACACGAAGAAGCTCCACAGATATCTACGACTATAATGAGATCATTATTTTTGAAAAATATTTACTCTCCGCGACCCGCGTATTTGCTGATATCCGTGAGTCAACAATGTGAAAACAAAAATCTTTTTGATTTTTCATTAATTTGCGATAACACGTATATTTTTAGAGACGTATAAAAAATTCATAAGAATCGTATAAATATATTTAGAAACGTAAAAAAACAACATATGTGTGCAAAGTTAAGAATTTAAAAATATTTATGCTTCTCCTGAGAAAATAGAAGTTTATTTTTGTAAAATTATAATGCAGATTCAAACGAGCTTCTTTAAAAACTTTTTAAAATTCACACATATTTCGCGGTGTATTTTTAATTAAAATAGTAATAATTCTATTTTCACATTTGTCGATCTTCCATTTAATTGATATTATAAATTACATACGGGAAAAATTTGCACAGAACTTTCCTCCTCTCTTTATAATGCATGACAAGAAAGTTATAGAATGTAGAATTAGTCTGACTTCTCTTCGCGGTATCTTTGCAATGTATCGAACACGAGATAAGAAGTTTCAACGCCTTCGGACTCAGATAAGGTCCGCTAGCAGACACTTTGGCGTCTCGATGAGTGGTTTGCGCGAACACGAACTCTAAAGATAGAGCGACATACGTCGTTCCTTTACCCCGTCCTTCACTTTTCCGCACAATTTTGATCATTTTTCCCTCGTTCAGTTTTAGATTAATGCTTTTCAAAATAATCCCGAGAGATTCGAAACGTATCTATTGTTCTAGAAATATAGTACACAATATATGAATATAAATGTATGTATATAAGAAGAGGACATTTTTCTAGATGTCCAAGTTTTTTTTTTCCGTTGAGAAGTTTTTCATCATATGTTGGTCGATTCAGTTTGCAGGCCAGAACTTTAACAAGGACTTTACAGTCTGTTTCTTCAAGGACTTTTACGACCCACAAACGACCGCTTTACATCAGCGGCACATTACCGGTATACGATGGTATATGTTGGCTGACAATGGCCATCGTTTTTATCGATTGCGGAAAGCAAAACAGGTTTGCCGGAAATGATAAACGAGCTGTTAAACGAGCGATTGTGGACAACATCCGGTAACATGATGTTGAACCGCGAAATCCTTCCCATCATCTATTATATTAAATGACAAGTAAGTAAAGCTTATGCAACGTTGACATATTGCACATGAATAATGTCAAAATACTTTGTCAGAAATTATTAATATCATAAAGTATAACATGATCCAACGTGGCGTATTTAAAAATGACATAATTTATAATATGTCTCTGATTATGGTTATAATAATTTTTCTTTCTATAATTTATTAAGAAAGTTTGTGTAAATGTTTTATATAATATCTTTGCAAATCTCTTTATAATAAAATTATGGATTCTAGTTTCTTCAAGTTATTTATCAGAAAGAAACATGTTATTTTTCAACTTTGTTGGAAAAAGATATATTAAAAATACGACTTGATATATGAGAGAGTGCTCGATGATAATAAAATATACCACTTGTCCTGATATCCTAACTTGTCCTGATATTCTTTACGGAATTGAGGATATTGGAATCCTTCGGTAACATAGAGGGCGAGTTCCTTAAGATCTAACGACCAACTTGGCGAATTACTTTCCGGTATCTGAAACTCGATTTCGGGAGATTGCCCACAAATGCGGAACGTTACGCGAAATGTGCTGCAAGTTTATAGCTGACGCGGAAATCGAAATCTTGACTAGCTCGAGAAATCGATAAAGTTCGATGTATGGATACAAGATATATCTATTTATCGATAAATAAGCCGTAGTTTTTTTTATGTAAATACTTTTTTATCAGATGAATAAATGAATTGCAATCCAGAAGACTATCTTGAAAGTTACATAAAATTTATAAGTTTAAAATCCTATATACACACATCATATATTTATACAAAATGTTAATTTAAAATTAGTTTTCGAAAACGTAATAAACACATAGATAACTAATGCATCTTATATCTTTTACTTTTCCATTTAATTATAGAATTTGTTAATGAAATCACGAAATAATGGGCCAAATATTTTTTTCTGAATTGACCAGAAATAACCACGTGACGTCACGATCAAAATAACGAATCGTCGATAAAACATATCAGACATTTCCAACGCGCGGATTTCCTAAAAGCTTCGAGCCTCAAGTAATGTTGAATGTACGTCACAGAAAAACGTCAGGACAAAAAAATCAAATCCTCGGGTCAGTCGGAGTTAAATATTGCTACGGCTAATCGCGTAATCTATACGTAATCTCCGACAACGAATTTAGCGTAGGTAAAAATGTATTAAAATGTAATTGTACGAGTTTTATTTCAACTACAAACGAACGACATTAAATATTTGCTTAATAGCAGTTGGATCAATTAAAACTTCAATAAATGCATCCGTTTTATGTACAACATTATAATTTATTATGTACATTTATTATGTCAACATTATGTATTTTGCAGCTTTAATTTAAAAAATAGAATAGAGCTTATTATTATTATATAAAATAATCGTACAGATGTTTCAAAAATCGCAATTTATTTTTGTCAAGGATATCGTGAAAAATTTAATCGGGGTTGATCCTTTCCAATGACGCATTTTACAGGGATTAGCAATTAGGTAGAAATAATTAATGTTGGAAAATAAATAATATTCGATTGAATTTTCTATTTCAGTTTCGCCGGAAGGAGGGCGAGTACGATCGGGCTTGACGAGTCGTTTCAAGATGACAAATCGCCACTTCGTTTTCGGCATCTCTTAAGCAATTAAGTAATTATCATGAAATATTGTGACGGCTGTCGGTTTGAAAAATTTGACGTAACGATCCGTGTTTCTAGCGTGAAAGCGCGCTGATAAAGTGTGTATACGCAAAACTTAGCGTGCGATAATATTTATAGTAACGAAGAGAGAAAGAGAGAGAGAGAGAGAGAAAGAAAGAGAGAGTTAAAAAGAGTAAACGGCGGAGGAATAAATATACAAGTCGAGGCAAGAGACTCGGCTGCTGTTTGCTGCACGCTTTGAAGGTGCGCTGGCCGTGCGATATAACGCGTGCGATGCCTATATTGTACGATTGGCTATACAACATTTGGGGAATAACACCTTAAATCTGATCGTAAATCCGTAAGCGCTATAATTCACATGTATGTACACAAATGCTGCTATCACCAGAGCTAGCAAATCACATACAACGAGTTGTATTGTTATCGCCCGCTCGGGTATAATTAATCAAGATTTAATCATAGAATGTATAAGAATAATAATAATGGAATTTATCTAAACTAAACGGTTAATAACATTAGGAAAAATGCAAGATGTTTGATGAAATTTATTGGCATGTATGCTGGAAAATACTATGAAAAATTCGTCCTACTTTCGCTCTCTCGAAGATTCGTTATGCATAATGGAATAATCATTAAATGAATGCAATATTAATGACGATGAATTAAATAGTATTTGCGTGCATTTAATTATAATATTATTATTCTAATAATGTCTTTTTTTCAATATCTTTTTAAATTTTTATCGTTGTAATTAATTTAGTCTCTATTATTTTTAGCAAGAATTTTTATACTAATAAGCGATTCTACGATTATGCATATTTATTCCATGGCTATATCTCTCGGTATAGATAATGTCAGTATCGCGCTAATGGGGATACGAGATGAAAACGCGAAAAAATGGGGATGCGAAGGATCGAAAAATAGGAAGAGTGAGAGAGGGAGAGGGAGACAAAGAATTACGGAAGGACATTGGTAGCGTAACAGCGCCAGAATAATCGTCCCAGTGGCGTCTTTTAATCCGTACCGCCATACGAATCTATTTTTCGCCGGACAATCGCGCCAGAAATATCGGATTGGCCTCTCTTCGCGATAATTCTGTTCTGGTGCTCACATGATCGCCACCACTTGGTGCCGCGTCGCGTATACCGTCGTCGGGTGAAACCCGGCGAGTGTGTATCTCTCGTCGCTCGTTTCACATCTCGACGTCAAGATTTTCACCATATGACCCATTTCTGCCGGATAAAAGAGATAGTCGATACGAGATTTTAAATATAAAAGTAAGAAACTTTGAAAGAGTAAAAGAAATCTCTGTATTTTTTTATATATTTTAAAAAATATCGAAAAAGAAAATTAATTTTTTTTTTTTCAGAGAAAATCTCAAAAGATGATTCATAAAAATTTATTCTGCGCGCGATTCATAAAAAATTCATTAATGTTTGGCGAGAAAAATCGCCGAACAAAAATCGAAGCCGTTTGTGAGGGTTGATCGGGGGAGGGGACGAGAGAGAAAAGGGCTCGCCAATTTTCTACGAAATAGGCAATACGAGATAACGCACATCGTTAAAATGATTCATAAAAAATTTATTCCGCGCCCGATTCATAAAAAATTCATTAGCTAATTTGACGAGAAAAATCGCCGAACAAAGATCGGAGCCGTTTGTGAGGGTTGATCGGAGGAGGGGGCGGGATGGGGAAGGGCTCGCCAATTCTCTACGAGATACGCAATACGAGATAACATCGTTCGATCGCCGATCAGCGAGACTGGGTTAGGACTCGTCGTACGTATTATAAAATGTGCGAATTATTTTTAGATCGGCGCAAAAATATCGCAAGGTCGCCGCACGCTGTTGCCCGACGCGGGCGAGTCTGGCCGCTTCGAGGAGCTTTGTGCTTTCCCGAAGACGAGACACAAGATGCCGCCACCGCGTGGAGAAACATCCCCGTTGACGTTACCACGAAGGTTCACCGGGTGGCAATTCAGGGAAACGTGGAATATTCGCGGAAGTCTGACTTCTCGATTGACGATAGAACGGAGCTGCTGTTACCAAAGTCATTGATGATCATATGACAGTAAGTGCACCCAACAATTATATATTATATAATTATAAAATTATTCAGATATAACGTTTTAATCGTCATAATAAAAATGTTATTAAATAGGAAGTTATAATAAATATATAATTCATACATATATATTAAAGATTAAAGTTCACAATTTTAATAATAATATTTTAGGATCCCTTTTTTAATATTCACTTTTAATTGAAAAAATATATCTTTCATTTTTTTAAATATTTTATTTATTTATATATATATATGTAATTTTATAAGAAAAAAA